TGTAAGTTAAATGAAACAGGAATATATCTCATATTGGCAAAACACCCTTCAACATTCTCAAAACCTTGAATTTTATAGATCTTTTAAAAGCAATCATACCACCTCTAGTTACTTAGACTTAACAAGAGGAACAGCTGGGAGAAGGGCTTTAGTAAAACTACGAATAAGCAACCACAAACTAATTATAGAAATAGGCAGATACGATCAAACTACGAAAAATAATAGGCATTGCCCTTTCTGTGGATTTAATCTAATAGAAGACTAAGTGCACTTTTTTTTCAATGTCCTACATACTCTATAATTAGGAATAAATTTTACTATAAAGTCAAGAAACTGATTCCAAATATTACCGAGTTACCAACAAACGGTTTGATGAATGAACTAATGAACTCCTCTAATTACTTGGAGAAAAAAGAAAAAACCTTTTCAAGCAAAAACAGACACGTGTAAACGGGGCCTTAGGTACCGTCTACGCGTATCGGGTTATTTTTGAAAACGGAGAACCCGCACGAAACGGAGTTTTCGGGCGACAAAACTGCACGTTTTAGAAAAAAATTACCATAGTGGAATTTCTTGAAAACGCTGGCTTGTCGTTTTGGTGTGGCTGAACGAAAACTAGGTTTTCGAATACTGTGCAGGGGCGCAGCCAGCCCATAGACCTGTAGGCCCAGGCCTACAAATGTTTCGTTTGATTACTCTGCCGCTTGTGATAAATTATGCGTTGTTGAGTTGAGCTTACAAGCTTTAAGAGGTCAAATTATTGGTGAGGTTAGTGCGTTCTAGTCTTTCGTGCAATTTTCAGAATATGCGGAAATGAAAGTCAGCCAGGCCTACAAATGCTCGAAAAGCTGGCTACGCCCATGCTGTGATTTCAGACATCATACAGCGCATGCTCTGTAAAGGATGCTACCTATTCATTGTTTTTGTGTTTCCAACGATTCGAATTCGAATACGATACGAAAAACTTTGCAGGCGTATTTTTTTTTTTTTTTTGTAAAACTTATTCAGGCCAACTGGCTGGTCCTAGCTTGGTACTGTTTCGAGTAAAGTGTTACTCTTTAACAAACGGCAAATAATGATCCGTGCCGCAAAGGCTAAAGAGACTGATAGAGAATACCTATCATAGTTGAAAGGTTTCAAGCGGGCTCAAGGAGTTATCCTCTATGTGGTTGGGGGAGGAATGAAAAAAGTTGTATACAGGGAGGCTCAATCCCGAGGTTCTTACCTTTTTATACTTCATTTTATAAAGAGAGGGTACTTCTTTCGGGCGGAGCTTCTCCTTATAGATCATTATAGGAAGTACCCCCCCCACCGGGAAATACGAAAAATTGCCAACGTGTTCCTCCCCTCCTTGTCGTCCCCTAAACTTTTTCATTCATAGTGAAGTTAAAAAGAACCTTTGAACTGTTTCCGTTCTTACGCTTTCGTAGAAAATACTTTGATGCCAATGCTAATACCAGAAAAAGAACTTAGATCAATATCCCTGTTAATTTTGACAAAAGTAGTAGAACTTAAAACTTTCCATTGCATTCTATTATTTATTTATTCACAATTTATTACTTGTAACACACGAACGACAGTGTAAAAAAAATCAGTTAAACGATTCGAATGTGGTCACACACATGCTGAGAGTAAATTCGAAGTAAAAATTTGAAATTTAACACGGCGTCCTTTGAAACTGCAACGAGATGCTGATTCCTAAATGAAAATTTACGAGGCTTCTTATCGTAATTGGCAAAAGAAAGTATTATGTTCAACTTAACTTAGCATTTCTATTCGAAAATATTTCTACAGTGTATCTGTAATAGGATACATTGTAATAGAGGTGTATTGACACTGTAATTCATAGACGGCTAACAGTGCTGAGTCCAATCCTGTGAAGGCACTTGCATTCGTGCCTGGAAAGAAAAACGTATAGTTGACTTATGCTATGAAATATCACTTACATAGAAAAATCTCTCAAAGGTTTCCGTTTGTAGCCCCTTTCACCCTTAATCATCATAGAGTGGACAGGTGTAAATATTAATGTATCCCTAACAAACTGGAACCTGCGAGTGTAACCACTGAGCCTTGGTACCCAACACCCATTCAGTGATTTATGATATACGTTATATTAGGGTCACAATTAAAGCTGGCTTGCCCTTGTTCCTCTTTTTTGCTGCAGTACAAAGGCATCATTTGTCTAGGAAAGCATTGATTTATTTTGCTCTCAAAATTGAACAGTACACAAGTGGTTTTCTTTGTCTTACCTAACATCGAGCGTGCGCGTATCAACCGCAAAGAGTAGTGGCGGCTGATTTGGTGAACCACGCCGCTGCATCGTACTGTCAATTCTGCAAACTGCAAGTTTAAACTGTTTCCTGTCGATGCCAAAAAAAAACACATAAAAAGATAAATAATTTCTTAGTCAGGCAAAAAAATGTAAGTGAAATATTTTTAATCTCAACAAGTAAATAGCATGCACGGCCCTAGCCTGAGCAAACAGCCGACATTTCGGGACGCCACCACTGGTTTCCCCGCGAAATAATTATAACGTCTGAGAAACGATTGCAGAAATTCCATACTGATGACAGACCTGGTTGTGCTCCTGATTGGCTGAAGCAAATTTCCTTCACGGTTCGACCAATCAGAATCACTACCCAGATCTGGATAGTGACACATTTCTGCAGTCGTTTCTCAGACGTTGTTTCGCGCGGGGAAACCAGTGGTGGCGTCGCGAAATGTCGGCTGTTTTCTTCGGCTAGCATGGCCCTGCGTTCACCCTTTTGCATTTTTAGTGACTCATGCAGAATCAAGGTACTTTTAGCGAAACGCTATCCGTACTGGTTGCAAACCACCACTTAATTGTTATGTATGGCATCAATTTAAATCCGCTCTTTATGGTAGATGGCTTCGAAATCTCTTGGTGGATTAGCACATGCACACTACCATCTAAACTCCTTTTCACCTGCCTTTCACTTACATGTGTATGTCATCACCACAATCTGCGAGCCTAGAACAGGCTACCTTAGAAGAGACACGAGTGTCTTTTAAAACAATACTCCTTATTTTAAGCGAACAGGGAAAGGATAAAAATTTGTAAAAATTCGAAGTCTCCCTCCAATCAGTTTTCCTTCTCAATCTTATCTCTTTTCTTGCGCCTTAAAGCTGGACTGAACTATACACGAAAGGATGTGGATCAGAAGAGAATTCTGAACAGCTTGTGTGCCGCTCTGCGGCGCCTGTCAAATATCTATTTATCAATATCTATAACAACAATGCTCCGACTCTCAAGTTCACTGTACATCGCCCCTACAAACAATGAAAAAGGAACAGATAATTAGTGTTAGGAAAAGAAATATCTTAAAAATGACGTCAAACCAAATACATTTCAATTATCTACTAATTAAATAGCAATGAAATAACCTATCCAAACAGTTCAAATACAAAAATTTCACTTTAAGCTAAAAGTGCCAATTTTTAGCCTGGTGATCTGATCTGTGAATTGAAGCGTCTCCTTGTTAGACATTTCTTCCCTTAATGTAGAGCAGACGAGCCATTAGATTGTCTATAACAACCCTTTTTTTAGTCCATTTTTGCACTTTTTTTCGCTCATCGAGGAAGTACCTCAACCAATAAATCTACTTTAGCTTTAATATGGAGAAACCAGATGTGAATTAATAGCTCGCCGAAACAACCCTTGGGGAAGACAGAAGAGATATTTTCATTCACACCATGCCAATATAAGTATGTGATTAGCTAAAAAAATCAAAAATTTTTAAAGCATTTAACAAGGATCACGATTAAAAAAAATATTGAATGCTAATCAACCATGTCAGATTTGAGTTTCCTTTATTTGAAAACTCCAATCTAAGCCGTTTTGGTGGAGACTTGAATCTAGGCTGTTTGTGCACAACAACATCTTAAATGCAAGATGATCCACTATATGATCTTGAATTTCAAGTCTTTACCACTTGATAAACAAGATTCACTTATTCAAGCTTAAATCTACATTGAGCTTTCACACTGGATAAAAAAAATGGAGGTGAAATCAAACTTACACTGCAGTTAAAAATCACTACTCCGAAATCTGATAAGCGGAAACTTGTATTCAAAGCCTTAGCTACATCTCATGACTCAGTCACAAGTATAAGTTCAATATACAAATTTCCTCAAACTTACTTACTTAATAGTACTTTTTCATCCTTCTTATTTCAAAGTCTCAAAAACCAGCTATCTAATAAGGCTTAATTCCAAGCTTCTGAAGTTTGAAATTCTAGCCCTGTGCATGTTTTAGAGACTGAAATCAATACTTTTACCAAGATTGTAACAGTATAAGTTCAATCCTCTTGAACTGAGAAATCATGTTTGTTCGAGATCGATTATCGGGAGCAACATGAACTTAACCAGTGATCTCTATCGTTATGATTTATTCGAGGTAGAAATCACCTAATTTCAGTTGCCCGGCACATATTAATTAAGTTATACTGATAGTGGACAAAAACGAGCAATTAGAAGCCCCGAAAATATAATAACAATCTGAGAAACTTGTTTCGACGTCAACTGTTATCTGACTGATATCAAAGACTGACAGGAAAAAAAAAGGAAGTCAAACATCCGTGTGCAAACCAAAACCCCTCAAAGCCCTGTAATTAAAACATGTTGTAAACGACCACCTCTCTTTAGCGACCGCGACAGTGTTTTACGGTCGACGGTTTTATAATTTTCCATCGTTTTTAACCTCCCGTAAGCACATGGTGTCCTCTCGCTTTGTTCGCCTGTCAGTGCATACGAAGACATTTGAGTGACAACATGGAACTACAGTAAAGATAGCGTAACTTCTCTTCCACAAAGTAAAAAAGTACATTCTCTTCAAAAAATAGATGTGTCCGGTCCTCTCTTACAAGAGACCACCATGGTCGCTTACGGGAGGTTCGGCTGTTCTTCCATAGCGTTTAACAAGTTGGAAAGGTGCCCATCTTTTCCAATACATAGTTCTTTCAAACTTCTGAGAAACTTACTTGTGGGTGTTATTTCTGAGTCTCTGGTGCTTGGTGCCTCTGCTGGTAGAAACCAAAAATATTATGAATACGTTTTTAAGCGAGCTCTGTATTGGAGTAAAATCACAAAATGGAATCGGTACAACTTTATACTTTAATCTTCATAGGATACTTACTTGCAGGTGTCACTTTTGTGGTAGTTGTGTGAACTAACTCTAATGGAAAAGACAAATAAACGAAAAAACAAAAACAAAGAAATTAGCTTCTCTCCAAACACGTGGAATTGAGGTGTTTCGATATAGTTTTTCAGAGCCCTTACCGATATTTTTCAATCGCTTTAAAAGTGATATTATCCTTGCCTGATCGCTATAACATTTTCACCAAAGACTGACTATAGATTGAAATCTGTCAAAATGTAGGTTTTAGTAAAATCGATATTACTATGACAACAACAACCAAAAAACTTTGAAATTGATAAACACCTAATTTTGCGCGATCTAGACCAGCTCCCTGAAAATCCTACGCTAGGAACTTAAAGTTTGGTGTTTAGCAAATAGCCTGCGTAAGAAGTAAAAAAAATCTGTATGTTTGAATTCGACTAAAACGAAAATATATTTCAAACCTTAAGTTTTCAATAGCCGTGATAGATTATTTAATATAAATGTTGTAAATGACTCGAAGTATTCTTAAGTAGCGTCAGAATGCTGCTTAATATGTTATTTCGATGCTAGGAAATTTTGGTATATTTTCGTTCTTGCGGTCTTAAAAACTAACCCGTTTTCTCACCACCTGTCTAAGTGCAACTTCATTCTAAATTTGGACTTTTAGCACACGTTTGTGTATCTCTGAAACGACTCGAACGAATTTTTTTGAAATCTTTTCACATAATCTTTATCGTCTGATCGTCTTTTTTAAGGTCAAATTTAAGCGTTTTGTTCAAGGCTCGCAAAAAATTCGCATTTATCCAAATAGCATAAAACAAAAGTATGATTTTAGTTCATGCTTCCTTAATTCCAAAAAGGCAAAATACTTCAATTCTGACCCCCCAAAAAAGGAATCGTGATGTTTTGAAAATACCACGTAAAGCGTCCTTGAAAAAAATGCGTGGTTATCCTAGTTTTAAAATAAGCTTTTTTCAAAAGTCTGACGTTATCTGGACTCTTGGTCACTCTCCCTGTTCAGTACTAGCTAGGACTAGTGTATCGAAATCAAGAAAAACATTCTTGGGCACTGTTGATTCCGAAGCACAAGAGTTCGATAAAGTTGGGTAACATTCTACTGTAATTGTGCGTATGACGTAATTTAAGCATCTTCTTGATTCCAAACTTTCCTACTATAAAACTAAAAATCAATACTGTCAGGGAGCAACTATTTTCAAAACTAACTTAATGCTGGGGACAAACAGTGAATATCTTAAAATCCACTACATATTGTCCTGAAATTGGGATGTTAAAAAAAAGTAGCAGCTCCGGTGAATGTTGCTATGTCAAGTTGTAGCTAAACGGTACTAGTTTCGTTGAAATAAAGGGGCTAGAACGGTAAAAAAGGTAAAATACATCATGAATAGATTTACCGTGTAATTACAACCTCAAAAGTTATGACATGATTCAGCAAAGAAATAGTTTACCAAAATGTACCGAATTTTCTAGCCACAAGTTTTTGCGTGCAGACGACATCATTTATATTACCGACCTTAAGTTTAGGTGGACGGCTACATCGAGGACGGTGATTTTAGCCGCGACAGTTTGGGGAGGGATGACGTCGACTTGGCGAGAGACAAGACAAGTTTCAGTAGAGGTGACGGTCAAAGACTTTTCTTAACTTCATTTAAGGTTTGAGAATGAGTTCCCTGAAAGAGATCCTAGAGCTTTTGGTCTACTTTTGTAATTATATATGATGGTGTCATATCAGATGAGAAATTCGTTCCCTTGTACGATGAAATCTAGTTGAGCGCTCTGTTGCTCGAAAGTGAATGTTCGTCGCTCCATTGAGCCTATTTGCGATCTACGTATTGCCAAATTTTCGCACGCTCCACAGTTCTTACAGCTGGTAATCGAGCCTACATATAGCTCAGGGCTTGAAGCGGTAGTGCATACTTCCAAGAACTTCTTTAGCAAGCTGAATATGGTGATCTTCAACCCAGTCCATCTTCATTAAAACAAGGACAAATTATTAAATACGATTGGCAAGTTGCGGGCAAAAATAAACAAGTTCCTTCATCCCGCTTTATACAGGGCTTCATTTTGTCGAATAAATGGTAAGCAATAATGAACACGTAATTTCATTTTGGCCTGCGACTTAAGCAGAAAAAATAGACTAAAAACTTCGGGAATGAAGAAAAGGGTAAAAGAATCAGTGGTCGGCTCCGGCAATTCTACTTTTTACAAAAAACGCGGATTACAAAAATGAAAAATGCCTTAAAATGAAGGTCTTTATTTGAATTTTACACTCAAAACTGAAAAAAGGATACCTTTTTTTTTCAATTTCACTCACTTATGAAAACCTGAGAAAAGTGCCTCCTTTTCTCATAATAGGCCGGACATTTTTAGTATTTGTCTTCGATATAAAGTGAACCAACTTTCTTGAGTAATATTTATATCTCACTAATTACAAAAAGCCTGAAAGGAGAAATTTCTCGAGTTTCTCAGCTTTTTGCCTTTTCATACAAAGTCGAAAAAAGTCGACTTTTTTAACCTTTCTTAGTTCCGACTTTTTGGCGGACAGTTGTCAAGTGAAGGCGGGAATCCCAATCTTCGGTCCTCTCGACTGACAGCTGTCAAAAATGACAGGTAATTGTGAGCAATGAGTTGTGACGTTAATTTACAAGTATTCATATGTAGTTGCACATTTTGTGTTCGGGCAATGTTTCAAGATGTCGGACGTTTAGGTCAAGATTATTTAATAAACACGGACGAGAGATAAAAAAAGGGGTAAAACTTAAGTCTAAGCAACTCTAAACAACGGTACTCTGGCAATGATATTTTGGTTCGTCCTAAACCAGGAAATCTATACACACTTCCTTCATACTGGCTTTTACCACGTTGAGGACTTTGAGAAGACGTACTTAGTCAACGTATGAGTGCGAACTCAGTTAGCTCAGTAATGCCTGCACTACAGTCTACAGCGCTTGGTGTACCTCTTTCCTACCGAAGGACGGCTACTCAAGCAAATCTCAACTAAAATGACCGACCTTCACCACCACCAAGAAAGGTCTAGTGGCGTGGAAGAAATCGCTTGTATGGTGGACGTGACACCGTCTGGCGAAAACAATCGGAGAAAAGTTCCAGGTGCACCGTGTCGCTGACCGAGGAAACTTCGTCGGTCGATGAAGTATTTGCATCCAGAAGAATCACTTCAAAGCTTAATTGTTGTTTTAGTAGCCTCTGTACATCATCGACCGACGAAGTTTCTTCGGTCAGCGACATTTTCCCCTGGAACTGGACAGACGGCAACACGGTCCACTACTACAAGAGATTTCTTCCACGCCACTTGACCCTACTTGGTGGTGGTGAAGGCTTGTCATTTTAGTCCGGCCAGCGTACTCTGCCCAGGCGAAGGGTTGAGATTTTTTCTTGTCGCCGTCCTCTGGTACGTCTTCTCAAAGTCCTCGACGTGCTAAAACCCAGTATTTAATAGGGGATCGGAATTATCGCCCCTTCTTCGAAGGAAATGTACGTAGATCCCCTGGTTTAGATCGAGCCTAAATATCATGGCCAGACTTAAAGACTTTAGTTTTACCCCCTTTTTATTTCTTGTCAGGGCGGTAGCCAGAAAAAAATAAGAAATGAGGCAATATCCATGGTTGAATTCACCGCCTAGCTATTTAGGATCGTCGCTAAATAATGTCAAAACAAGCTTAAATTTTGGTTCAATTGTTTAGAAGAACTGAAAGAATGTTGTAAGAGCATCTACTAACCGCTTTCTTTGAAAAAAGCTATTGATAGAACACTGCATTTTGATAGATTTTCCTCACTCAGACCATAGAAGACAGAAGAGTCGAGAAATGGCAGCAAAACACAATTCAGGCCACTGCCTGATTCGCGTTATCATTAAACATAGTACCATGTTGGGTCAACATTTTTTTATATTTAACTATTTGTGAATTTATTTATTTGCTGCTAGTGACTTTTTTTCTCCTTCAAAAAAAAAAAAAAATGACTGACGCAAGTACCTCGGTTTGCCTCATACTGGCTACGGCCCTGCTTGTCCATCCTTAATCTTGGACGTAAATAAAACGTCCGACATCTTGAAACGTTTTTGGAACGCAAAGTGTGCAACTACATACCGGTATAAACACTAATAAATTAACGCCACGATTGCCCAGAATATCGCGCCATTTTTTGACAGCTGTCAGTCGAGAGGCCCAAAGATTGGGGCGGGGAAAAAGTCGGCTTTTTTCGACTTTGAAGGAAAAGGCAAAAAGCTGAAAAAACTCGAGAAATTTCTCTTTCCAGCTTTTTTTTTTGCGATTAGTGAGATATAAAAATTACTCAAGAAAGTTGGTTCACTTTATATCGAAGACAAATCCTAAAAGTATCCGGCATTTCATGAGAGAAGGGGGCACTTTTGTTTTTTGAAAGTTAAAAAAAGGTATTCTCTTTTTAGTTTTGAGTGTGAAATACAAATAAACACCTTGATTTTTCGGCATTTTTCATTCTCCTAACGCGCGTTTTTGTAAAAAGCAGAATTGCTGGAACCGACAACTGATATAAAGCCGGTGTTCAGATGGTGAGAGAATACTTAAATGTGATTATTTTATCGCTGGGAATTTTAATCCTGCTGTTGAACCACTTGCTGCACAAGCTCATGTTATATTTTCAATCATAAAATAGTGTTAAAGTAAGTAATTGAAAAAGGTTTACCATTTGACGTAAACTAAACACTCCAGAAACAGATTAAAGCGGTGTTCAGCTAAAATGAAGATGTTTTGAAGACGAAAAGACGAACAAAAAAACTCACGTTCTCGAGACACCGCCGCACTCAGCTTTCTCACCGTCGCGACGTGCGAACCACGTAGGTTGGACGACTGAGATATATGCCAATTAGCCCCAAATCGGACAACTTTTATCTAACTTAAGGTCCGTATTGTGGGCCGTCGATAAAACCCGGAACACGGAACATTCCGGAACATGCCGGAACATTCCGGAACATCCCGGAACATGAAAAAATAAAAATAATTTTCATGAAAAAAAAAATAAATAAAATAATAATAATAACATAATATTTGTAAAAATTAATAAGAACGTAAAATAACAAAAAAAAAAAAAAAAAAAAACGAAAAAGAATGAAATAATCAAGAAAAAGAAACTGGTATCCTCTCTGAGTATGAGAAAACAATATTTTGTCGCAACAAATTAAAATTTGTTGGGTGAGGGTTCATGTAAATGACAGTAATGAGTGAAGGCTTGCTTCTTCTTCTTCTTCTTTGCGGGGAGACGACTAAAAAAAAGGCTAACTGATAACAGTTAGAAACTACCGCTGCGCTACCACTGCCACTGCAACTATTCATTGCGAATGTGAATCTTTAATGTAATTATCCAAGTCCAAAGCGACGAGCCCCTAAGCTCTTCTTACGGTCGCAAAGCCGTAAATTGATAACCGTTAAACCGCATGGCAAACATTTACAAGAGATGGCTGTGTCAGGAAAGCTTGAAAACCCCCTCCTCGCGACCCATTTTAATATATTTTGAATTTAGAAGCAAGCCTTTACTCATTACTGTCATTTGAATGGACCCTCACTCGCCCAAAAAATTCATTGCGACAAAATATTGTTTTCTTATACTCGGAGATGATACCAGTTTCTTTTTCTTTCTTTCTTTGTTTGTTTCATTATTTTTGGTTTTTATGTTATGTTATGTTATTTATTTTGTTATTATAAATTTTTGCAAAAATTGTTTTCTATCTATTGTTCTTTTTATTATTATTATTATTATTATTATTATTATTATTATTATTACTATTATTTATTTAATTTTTTTTTTTTCATAAAAAAATATTCTAATTTTTTCATGTTCCGGGATGTTCCGGGATGTTCCATGTTCCGGTTTTATCGACGCCCCGTATTGTGTCTGAGGATGTCAATTTCAGATTTCAGTTTGAAGTGCAAAATTTTAAAACATGTTGGATGTTATTTTATCGAAGTTGAAACTACTCATCAGGCTTAACGAGGTAAAATAAACAAGGTACAAAAAATAATAAGAATAAAAATGTTTTGCTGGTTTACTATTTCGTCAAGTTTTTAATTCAATTTTTGTTAATTTTCTTGCGTCGTTCACTTAATTTAATTTCGTATGCAAATCTGCAACACAAAACGTAGAGCGTATTTACATTGTGCCCAGATAACCTTCGCAGATAGAATGGCTGAATTTTGTTCTTTTTCCGCAATAACAGGCGGAAAATGCGGAAGTAATCGAGAATGTGTAGATTTTGTGTGCTTGAATGGTTGCAACGCTGACATTAGTTCACACCTAACGAATCACCACCTGTCAAGGGAAAATGTTTGTGAAATGGATCTGATACTGGCAAGGGCAGGTCTGTTAGAACTCACTGATGATCAGATCAAGAATATGACAGTTTGTCCAGTCCATCGTTACACTTTGGGAAAATACTGGGAAGCTCTAAAGACCTGCTAGTATCCAAAACATCACGGAAGAAAATGGCAATAGCGGGAACACACGTTATTAATTTCAAGACTGCAAGAGAAATAAAAAATATCTTTGGAGAAGCCGTTCCCGTTGGCTCGCGTAAGTACTATCAGACTAGCAACTTTAACTGTTACATGCTTTCATTTTGTAATTAACATATCAGAATTGAAAGGTTTTGTCTTCCTTAACATTTCAACTAAATACTTTCGTTCCTAATTACTTAAAAGCGAGCTGTAGACTGAGGGGAAGTCCCATTCTATATATTTTCGGAACGATCAACGATCGATCCCGTATTTGATAGTATTTTGCACCCAGAAAATCATTTCCAAAAAATAACATATCAAATGATCATAGCTTGGTTTTCGTAGTTCATTAAGGCAATAGTTCTTTGCTGTGCGTCATCCATAAATCTGGTCGCTGATTTATAGCCTACATAATGTAATTTCCAAGATGGGATATAAAGATATAGCTTTTTTTATCAACTTAGTAGTAAATCTAGTATTTTTTTAACAAGTCTTTCCAGTTTGCAAAACTTTTTTTTGTTTCTTTTTGTTACTAGCTATTTGCACAACGTGCAGAAAGAAACACAGTAAAGAATTAGATCAGAAATCAGACTGGCTATACCCTGAGGAAACTGAGGGAGATGTGCTCCTTCAAAGGTACTGTCTGGAAGGTAGTCGTTTGGTTGTTGTTTTATAAAAACACACATACGGTTGTCCTGTCAGGTTATCCTATCGCAAGGTAACTAAGTAGCAGCCTTAAGAGGGTACTGTGGGAGCCATCCGTCGCATGGTCTCTTCGACTCCATTTCTTGAAGACTAATCAACGTCAGCTCCCTGGAACCCCATAACACCATGCTGGACTCTAGGGTCAGCTGAGGAGGCCTCTTTTACTTCACTCGTGGTAACCGATGGAGTCGGCAGGTATAACGAGGCGATGGATACAATTGCGAGTCTTACTACACAAGAACAAGTAGAACGCGAGCCCCTTAAATATCAGCTTAAAACTCCATTCCAAAACTTATTAAGAGATGGGGAACAGTTGAAAGTTAAAAAGGCTGAAGAGGACTGCTTGCACGTATGTAATGTAATTGCCCCAGGTAACGGGGAGGAGCTCTTCGAGCGTCCCGTCCGCCTTGATATGGAGAATGTCGACCACTTTGTAGAATTCATTGATAGACCGTACTTTTATCAGGATGTTTCATATGGTAACAAAGTACTCACCCTAGATAATGGTGACCGAATTGACAAGGTCTACAATGATTGAGCAATACTTGGAGTATTGCAAAGAGCAATGTCACGAGCCACTTAGTAGGGCTTCTCTGTTTAAAATATTGGAGGTTCGAGAAGCGTTCACAGTCACCCTAACCCTAACCCTAACCCCCCCCCCACAAACCCCAAAGGTCCGCATTTTGATACACAATATCAAAGTTAAGGAGTGCAGTCGGTTAAACTGAAGTTATAACTCAATGGAAATTGAATTCAAGTTAATTAATGGAAATTCAATTTGCCTCAATGGACGTCACCAGCCTCTACACGAACATACCCCAGGAGGAGGGTATCACAACCGTATGCGAAGCATACGAAGAATTCTATGAGGAAAACCCTCCCATTCCTACCAGGTATTTAAGAGAAATGCCAAGTCTGATTCTACATGATTCAATGGAAAAGATTACCTCCGAACTCATGGAACAGCTGTGGGGACGAAAATAGCCGTAGCTTTTGCTAACATATTTATGGCCAAAATAGAAAACGAAATACTCAGAAAAAGCACCACAAAACCAATTTTTGGGAAAAGATTCATAGATGACGTCATATCTATGTGGAACACAAGCAGAGACAAAATAGAGGATTTCCTTGTAAAGGCAAACAGTTTTCAGCCAACGATAAAATTCACGGCTGAAATCTCAAGAGATAGAAACCACATTCTTAGACGCGAAAGTGTACAAAGGTGACAGATTCAATAAGGAATCTATTCTTGACGTGCGAACGCATTTCAAAGCTACAGAAACCTTTCAATACACGAATTTCTATTCGTGTCACCCACCAAGCGTCACGAAACGCTTTATAAAAGGGGAAGCGTTAAGGCTTCTGAGAACAAATTCCTTTCAATTTACTTTTGAGGAAAACATGATTAATTTCAAAACACACCTGCAGAATAGAGATTACCCATCTAGAATTGTAGAGAAACACCTTTCAGAGATTAAATTCTCTGATAAGTTATAACCTTTATAACTTAATTCAAACAGTTGTATTCGACAAATGTAATATTTAGTTCCTACCGTGTACTTTGCCGTTACAATTTCTCATGTATTACTACTTTCCTAAATAAACGGATCAGACAATAAAAAATACATTTCGGCAGTTTGGTCCTGTTTGGCCTCGTTAGCCCCCCCCCGACATAAAATCCTGCTTACGGGCCTGATTGTGCGCTCAGTAAATCAGGAGGAGGCGAAACAAGATGCAGTGAAATCAGAAGACCCACAGTCTGCCATTCTGATCATGGACTGGGCCATGAAGTTCCTCCAAATAAAATTTCGTGAGAAACAGTCTGAATGGTTCGGCAAACGGAGGCTGAGCTGGTATATTTCCACCCTTATAACTAAGAATGTTGACGCTGGAAAAATTGAGCTGAAATCGTATGCTCGTGTCTTTGACTCTAGCCAGCAAGACTGGTACGCAGTATGCTCGATCATCGAAAACACACTTGAGGTTGTAAAGAAAGAACATCTCCAGATTACCCAATTGAACCTAAGGGGTGACAAAGCAGGCTGTTACCACAAAAACTTTCCCCAGCGGGGGCTGGCAACGGCCTTTGATCTTGCCGCTTTTCGGCTTTCCATGATCGCCCCAGTTAAGAAATCTGTCAATCATCCGAAAACTGTAGCGAACATGCGCGTTACGGGTTGGGAATAACAACATTTGCTTTTGGTCCTGTTGGTCATTGCTTTCTTTGCTGTAACCAATTTTTTTCCTCGGGAATGTGGTGCTTACGTTTTTCTTTCTTCTGGTACGCTAAGAACGAGACCAGTGAACATGTTCCTCGATGTCGGTCCTTTTGACTATGTGTTTCTGTTTAGAAGACTCACAAAACTAAAAGAAGGGCCATCCCTCCAATACGTATGTAGAAGAGTTTATATTTTCAAGTGAAAGGCCCAAAATTAATTCTTCGCGATATTAAAAAAAGTGCGGTGGCTGTGGTCGAGTAGAAGAGTTGTCAGAGTTGTTTATAATTACGGTTTTACTACACCTTTAAGACGAGAAAAAATGATGATTGAGATTCTTAATTTTACATCCTTGATTGTGAACTTATCCCGGCAGATTTGAGCTGGATGATTGAGTGGCATGGTCAAATCTCGTAGTTCATGTATTTCGTTATGTACTAGAAGCTAAATAAATTTTGCCAATCTTGGGCAAATGAAAGGGTAATTATTTTTTTCTGTTTGGAATTCTCTTTTCATGACAGCAGTTATTACACTGCCTTTAGTTTGAGTCCTCATTCAAGTGTGTTTTGTTGCAAATAAAGAGGCAAAAATTATAAATTTCAAAAACTACACTACCCCTTGGAGCAGGGTTATGGTTTAAAAAAGATGGGATTAGCTAGGTTCAGAAAATAAATGTTCAAGTTTGCATGTTTAGACAAGGACCACATCTGGCTAAATAAGCTTCAAAGGGAATTTATAAAGTCAGGAAAATGGTGACATTTCTATTTTTGCCTTTCCTTTGGCCACTGTGATCAGTTTTTGCCATACAGTTGCATGTAATTTTTTACCCCTGTGGACATCAGCCTGAAATCAAATCCTCTCAACTTAAGAATTGCCTTGTACTTGGTTATGAAAAACACCATAGGATGCCTTGGAAAATAAATGTAAAATCATATTATTAAGAAAATATATTTATTGGTAGTTAACGATAGCAGTTAGAAACTTGTGCTTAGGCAGATAAATACCTTTTTCAGAGACCATAAACATTCACTGACGTTGCTGTTACAACAAGTGGTAAAAGGGTATTTTAAAAAATGTGAGATCACCTCCCTGGGCTTGCACTGAAAGAGAGTATGGGTAGTAGGACACATTGTTTATTTCCCTACCCTTTTTAAGCCAAGAGACCTTATTTTATAATTCTGATTCATTTCATTTAGCATACAGAGTTAAGTTAGCTTTTAAACTTAGAAACATAGAAAAAACTTGGGGAAAAATGGTGGTACCAAAAATGTAACTATAGGCTGCTCTTCATCAACCTTCATAGCCCAAACAGACACCTTGTTCAAAACTCTAAAGGGTGAAATGGTCACCACCCTCAATCAGAGGCACATACCCATCTAGGCCAAATAAGCCAAGGGTAGCAGCGTAGAAAGAACTGCTGAGGGGGTTGGGCTTAAGGGGCAATAACTTCTTTTGATGGTTGATAAAAAATCAATTTTACCTTGTTTGTTTTTGTTGTAAATCAAGTTCATAACTTACACAAACAACTGAAGTTGTACATTTTTTAAGCTCCTTCATTCTGATTCTCTTTATAAACTTTGCAAAACATTTAATTTTCTTTGTTCTGTTTCTTGTACTTCAGTCCTTTGAGGGATTTTCTCAATGCATGCCCCTCTCTGATGTACTCACTCTTATTAGCAACTGGATAAGCCTCTTGTTCCCACACTAAACCATTAGTAAAATTCAGAAGTACAGGGTAATTTCTGTACAAACAATTTAAAGAAAATACTTGAAACCGAAGTCACTATCTGATACAAAACTACTAAATACGGTATTGCTGTGGAAATTTATTGATTATTACTCCAATGATATTCCAGTGAAGGTTTTGAAGGTTCAGTAAAACCCTTCTAGCCTTCTGATATTAAAAATAGCTTATAATGACTGACAGACCCAGTATATGTGAAGCAAAGTGACTGGAAAATTTACCCTGGCTTTCTACTAAATTGGCCCTGTATTCTGTATTTTCGCCCATCAATATTTGTTGTTGCTCCCGGTTTAGAAACAAACTTACGAACATCGAAGTAGAAAATCGGTTTAATGAACATTCCCTGTTGACTGTTGCAAGACTCATACTAATATAGTGAGCTCGTAGCATATGTTTAAGATAAGGAAGAGAGTTCATAATACCACTGTAGGTGGAAAAATATAAGAGATGGAGACTAGGCTGGTTGCTGGAAAATTCACGAGGCTTATAAATAACTGAAATTGCCGAGATACCGAATATATCACGCCTCCTGATGTCAAAAAATTCCATAAAAAATGTTCTTAAAAACCTTTTCTTGATGTTTGGACGCGGGAAAACTCAAAACCGAGCAAAAACTCATCGTCCTTCCATGTCTTCATTTTCCACCAGATTTGTTTTGAAGGAAAATGGTACTCAGTCTCACTCAGCCAATTTCTCAACTGGGGCGATCATGTAAACTCGGTTCCAGACCTCACGCCAGCCCCCCCGACTTTATCTTAGCCGCCGTTGAAGATGCCGCAGGACGAGTAGGCATTGGAGTAGCACGGTATGACTTTTCTGAGCCGCGGTATGGAAAAGATATCTGAGGTAGAATCCTTTGTCCAATGAAATCATCCATCCGACGATATTGCAATGAGGGACACGATGTCCTTTCTGCGAAAGACATGCGTGTAGCGCTTTCAGAACGCTTCGTTCAAGGTACAACTGCCTCCGTGTGCGCAATGAATGAGACTCAAAAGACACTCGAAGTTCATAAGATAGAAGGTTTCAGCAAGTATCACAATTTCAAGTTTAAAGGGGAAGGAATTAGAGCATGGAGAGCTTATGATGTTGGACCGGGCAGGTTTATTCCTTACCGAGAAGTCATAACTGAACCTCAAGGTCCTACTGATCTCATTGTGCATGAGAACTTCTTTCCTCTCAAAGAAGCTCGAGTATATAAGAGGGGGACAAACAGTGAAAATAAGCAGTGCAACGGTCTTTCCTCTTGTTCTGAGCCCTGGTGCAACATCGTTTTCAAGAAATTCAGTGAACTCGAAAATCACCTTGATGTCGGTGAGCACAGCCAAGTTCGCCGAAACTCTGATACGGTGTATGACAAGCTCAGAAGAGACTGGGCGGAGAAATTTCCTACTGTTGATAAGGACGAAGAAATCAGAAGTGTGCCTGTAGCAGTTGGAGAGGAGCGTGACGAAAAGAATGAAACTGGCCGCTCTCACCAGTGCAGTGACTTGCAGACTGGATGGGTTCTACACAAGCCCCGAAACGAAGCTGTGCGTTTTCCTACCGAGGTTAAACAGTACCTAACAACGAAATATGATCTTGGAGAAAGAACTGGCATCAAGTCAGAGCCCGCAAAAGTGGTAGCAGATATGCGAACTGCAAGAAACCCAGACAGTTCTCGGATGTTTAAAGGAAACATTGGCTAACAAAGGGTCCAGTACAGAGATTTTTTTAGAGGCTAGCGGCCTCGCGAAGAAGCAAAGCACATCGGGAAGCGCTCAATGAAGACGTACAGGCGGAACAGGAAGAGCAGGAGAGACGAGTCGTCCTGGAAGAGGTGGCCACCCACCTTGTTCCTAAGCATCCTATCTGCTATGATTCATACTGTTTATGTGACCTTTCACACGAGAAGAAACTTAAAGCTATGCTCACGGACATTGAAATACTTTGAAATTCCTTTTAGTTCTCGCGACAGAAAAAAAAAAATTCTTGTAGCGAACCTATCCGAATTTCTTGAAGGCTGTGACTGTAACCAGCCGCATTAAAGCACAAACCGCTATTATAGTAAGCAAGAGGGTTTTTCAACCTCGAATTCAAAAATATCGTGGAGGCAGTTATTTTTCAAAAACTTGAAAAGACGTTTTAAGACCTTTATACTTTTTGAAAAGTCGAATTAGAAAAGAACATGTTTTTTTGTCAACCGTATTTTAAAAAGGTACATACGCGTGGCAATTAAGCTAAAAAAACTGACATTCACTCGTAGCCAGCGTGACGGGAAATTAACACTGTTCAGATGATTTGAATTTCGGCTGCATTCTACGGGGTGTTTTTAATAAAATGTGTAATTCTTTTAACCAGGACTCACTTTCGTCAAATAACCTGAATGAAAAGCTTTTTCTTTCTTTCTTGGTCATGAAAACCTACGACCAATTCAATTAAATGAAATTTTGTAAACAGCTTTTTAGAAGTAAACTTAGACGACTGATAACTTAAGCCGGAATCGATAATTTCGACTATTAAACTTCGCAGTTCCTAGTTTTGTGTAGCATTTGGTAAGTTCTTGACTACTCACAGTTTATCTCCAACAATAAAAGCTACTTTTTCATATATTTGCTCTCTCGGTTTGATTTTCAGTTGGAAAGTTCGGGATCACCTAAATGCGCAAATTACATCATACGCACAATTACATGTAAAATATAACCAAACTTTATCGAACTCTTGTGCTTGGGAATCAACAGTGCCCAAAAATGTTTTTCTTGATTTCGATACACTAGCTCTAGTACTGAACAGGAAGAGTGACCAAGACTCCAAATAACGTCAGACTTTTGAAAAAAGCTTATTTTAAAACTAAGATAACCGCGCATTTTTTTCCGTGGTATTTTCAAAACATCATAATTCCTTTTTTGGGTGGTCAGAATTTAAATATTTTGCATTTTGGGATTAAGGAAGCATTAATTAAAATCATACTTTTGTTTTATGCTATTTGGATAAATGCAAAATTTTGCGAGAAAATTTGACGTTAACAAAAAAACGATGACAGCTTTGGACCGTTCAGGTAAATCGCCGCCCAATTTTTTTCAAAAAAAGAACAATGAAAGAGCAAAAAATAAAAGAACAAATTCGATTTTTGTTAATAGAACGGACTAATCATGTCGCAGAAAAATATGAAGGGATTCTGTTTTCCGCGGAAATTCGAGTGGTCGGTTCTTACACGGACCGCCTCTTAAAGTTGATTTTTAATAACTTACCAGTGTTTGTTCCATTATATTTCACTTTGATGTAAGTTGCCTTAAATCCACGGTACTGCCGGAAAGTACCAATATCAGAAAGAAACGTCACCCTCAGAACATCTTTTACCGAACGGTATACTATCCCACGGTCTTTATGGTTTCTACATCTTCACCTGCCTGAAATCCCATCAGAGGATGAGCCATTTTGTATTTCCAGGTAGTCACACGTGCAAGATGAACCACACTCCGCAATATAAATGTCGTCAATGAACAACAAAATGCGTTCACCTTTACTTGCTACAATTTTCCAGCTGCATTTCTCGAGAGAAGGGTAACGTCTTGGATAGTAAGGACTGGTAAGAACTCCTGATGTCTCATACAGGGTTGCCATATTGGGACAGACTGCAAAGAATATAAATGGAATGAGCGTAAGTATCGAGAAAAAATAGAATTAAACCACTTTCAAGAAAGAATCTAGATAACTTGAGAAAGAATTAGGTCAAAACCAAATGCGGGACGGAAGGACTTCAATAATTTTGGGATGCGCCAGAAACTTTTTTTGGTTTTTCTCCGGAATAACTCTGGCTTTTTAAATTATCGAGATTATATTGTGAACAAGTCACAGACAATTGACTGCCTTCTTACAATGTTTTTAAGAGTCCGTTCCGTGAATCAAACGAACATTATGGTGGGTATTAGACGGCTGCGCTCACTTTGGCATTAAAAAATTGTTGTTTCGTTCAACGGGATTTGGAATCTGTGATTTTACTCGAGGTGAATCTGGAATCCTACTTATGTTTGGAATAAGGAACCTAAATGCCAATGATATCCGGAATCCACTCTCGGAATCCAGAATCCACGGCGTGGAATCCAGAATCCAAAACTTTCTTGGATTACCTTTTATGAGCGAGTTGTTGTTAATGATGGTTTTTACATCTTAACTCAATCATTGATGCCTTATAAATAATGTATACCACGCACCTGAACTATGAGTGATAGCCGTGTAAGATGCATTAAACCCTGGGTATTGACTGCGCAGAGACGTGAATATGACCTGAACGGAATTCCCTACCGAGTACACTGGAGAAGGAAGAGACTGACCGCATAGCATGAACGGCTGATACCCATCATCTGAAGCAACATTTGTAACTGTAACGCGGGCCTCTGAAGCATGATAGCAGGGAATGTACTGAAAGGGCCTCAATCGAAAGTAGAGGAAGCTAAGTTTAATGATGTACCCACTGGGAACTGTGATATTCCAGGTACATTTGCTGTATTGAGGGTAGTTACTTGGAAAATTTGGAGTTGAAAAGAATCCACTAAATCCAGTAAGATATTCGCCAGAGGTACAAGCTGCAACAAGGGGAAATAAACATGATTCAGCTTTATAATTCAAAATCCAAGAGTAATCATTTTTGTCTGTAAACCAATCAAAAACAACTCAATCGAAAGCGTTGCAATAGATAAACATAACAAATACAAGATTTGCAACAAAACACTTTTAACATAATGCGAATGAAAATTGTTGGCATTTCATCTGCATTTTAGTTTGTGTTGTTTTACTCCGTAAAGTACTTAAATGTTACAGTTGCTATCAGCCTGTTATAAGGCAATTATGTTTTATGTGACCTGCTGAAAGTTGATCACCCGATTGCTTGCACGTAAACCTTTAACTTTGCGTTTCCAGCCGACTTTTAATAACTTATCAGCGTTTGTTGCATTATACTTCACTTTGATGTAAGATGCTTTAAATCCATGGTACTGCGGCGAAGTACCACTATCAGAAACAAACGTCACTCTCAGGACATCTTTTACCGAACGGTATACAATTCCACGGTCTTGATGGTATCTACATCTTCGCCTGCCTGAAATCCCATCAGAGGATGAGCCATTTTGTATTTCCAGGTAGTCACAAGTGCAAGATGAACCACACTCCGCAATATGAATGTCTTCAAGGAACAACAAAATGCGTTCTCCTTTACTTGCTATAATTTTCCAGCTGCAATTCTCGTCAGAAGGGTAATGCCTTGGATAGTAAGGACTAATAAGAACTCCTGATGTCTCATTGAGGGTTGCCATATTGGGACAGACTGCAAGCAATATAAATAGACTGGGCGTAAGTATCGAGGAAAAATAGAATTAAACCACTTTAATTTCAAGAAAGAATCTTGTTAACTTGATAAAGAATTGACGATATTCGTATTCCCTGACGGCCCTGGGACGAGAGACTTCACAGCATGATTGCGAGGCTAAAGCGGGGAACTTTTTGGCAAAAACACAAACAAACTCTGGTTAGTCGCGGCTGAATCGCTGCAAAACGATAGAAATCAGCAAAAAAACTGCAAGATTTAAAAGCTGAAACCTTACGGGTAAGCTAAAGGGATATATGTTTCAAAAAAACAAAACTGTGAGATGAGCTGGCCGTACTATATAACAGCAAAATTTAAAAAGCCACGAAGCCAAAAGAAGAAACAAGAAGAATGTAATCAAGAAAATGTTATATTGTGTCAAAATGTCAATACTCGAATCCTCTTTATACAATTTTAGTCTTACTATTATTCTTTTCCTCTTGCGTGTATCTGAAGTGTGGAGTTTAGGCTGCTCAGTATTATCGTCTGTACCAAACGCTGTGTTCAACTGCGTGCACGTTTTTTGTACTCTCACACAGTTGTTATCGAAGATAATGTAACTTAAATTTAAAATAAACTTTACCTAGTCATCTTTGTTCAAACCGGTTTAACTTCCTTAAAATGCACATGGACTGTGTGCAGAACGCTAAGCCCCGTCCTGATAAGTAATTATCCACTGAGTGAGTCGTTTGGGTTACTTCAAATACACAAGATTTTGCATCCGCTCTGTTAGAAAATTTCAACTGCAAAGTAGGGGTGATAACATCACTGTTAACTTTATCGCAGGCTTTCGATGATTACGTCCATTTTAATAAAAGGTATTCTTCAGAAAGTTTAAAGGACACTGAAAATTACAATTAAAATGACTTCGGGGATTTTGAGAACATCTCTGTTTATATTAAATTATAAACTCGCTCACCAAGCACTCTTCTCATCAATATAATTATGATTAGGATCGCTGTTTTTCTTCGTAATAATGAGCAGATCTTTCTTTTTTTGTTTGAAATAATGATGTCTCTCAAGTGTGTAAGCCCTTCGGAACTTTACAATGTTAAAAAGTATCCTTAAATTCGGCAAACTCAGCCGCAGTTTTCTCATATTTGTTTGTCCTCTTCGCGAGAAGTTTCCCCCATGAGCCTTGCATTCATGATCAAGGCCTACTCGTCCCAGGACTGTCGGAGAATACGAATACTGACTATTAGATCAAAACCAAATGCGGGACGGAAGGACTTAATAAGTTTGAGATGCGCCAGAACCTTCTTCTTTTTGGTTTGTGTCCGGAATAACTCTTTTTGAATTATCGAGAATATATTAAACAAGTCAGACAATTGACTCGCTTCATACGATGTTGTTAAAAGTCCGTTCGGTGACTCAAACGAACATGTTAATGGGTGTTAGGCGCCTGCGCATACTCTGGCATGAAAAAATTGTTCTGTTGGTCAGGTTTTCTTTCTTTGTTATAAAAGCCCATGTCAACTAGGCCTACAACGCAACATTAACTGTGAGAAATATGTTCGTACTAAGTACTGGGATTTGGAATCTGTGATTTTACTTGAGGAATCTAGAATCCTACTTGTGATTGGAATAAGGAATCTAAATGCCAATGACATCCGGAATCCACTCCCGGAATCCAGAATCCACGGCGTGGAATCCAGAATCCAAAAGTTTCTTGGACTATCTTTTATGGGGCGAGTTGTTGTTAGTAATGGTTTTTAAATCTTAACTTAATCATTGAAGTCTTATAAACAATGCCTACCACGCACCTGAACTATAAGTGATGGCCGTGTAAGTTGCTTTAAACCCTGGGTATTGACTGCGCAGAGACGTGAATATGACTTGAACGGAATTCCCTACCGAGTACACTGGAGGAGGAAGAGACTGACCGCACAGCATGAACGGCTGATACCCATCATCTGAAGCAACATTTGTGACTGTAACGCGGGCCTCTGAAGCATGATAGCAGGGAATGTACTGATAGGGCTTCAATCGAAAGTAGAGGAAGCTAAGTTTAATGATGTACCCACTGGGAACTGTGATATTCCAGGTACATTTGCTGTATTGAGGGTAGTTACTTGGAAAATTTGGAGTTGAAAAGAATCCACTAAATCCAGTAAGATATTCGCCAGAGGTACAAGCTGCAACAAGGGGAAATAAACATGATTCAGCTTTATAATTCAAAATCCAAGAGTAATCATTTTTGTCTGTAAACCAATCAAAAACAACTCAATCGAAAGCGTTGCAATAGATAAACATAACAAATACAAGATTTGCAACAAAACACTCTTAACATCATGGGAATGAAAATTGTTGGCATTTCATCTGCATTTTAGTTTGTGTTGTCTTACTCCGTAATGCATTTAAATGTTACAGTTGCTATCAGCTTGTTATAAGGCAATTATGTTTTATGTGACCTGCAAAAAATTGATCACCCGATTGCTTGCACGTAAACCTTTAACTTTACGTTTCCAGCCGACTTTTAATAACTTACCAGCGTTTGTTGCATTATACTTCACTTTGATGTAAGATGCTTTAAATCCATGGTACTGCGGCAAAGTACCACCATCAGAAAAAAACGTCACTCTCAGGACATCTTTTACCGAGCGGTATACAATTCCACGGTCTTGATGGTATCTACATCTTCGCCTGCCTGAAATCCCATCAGAGGATGAGCCATTTTGTATTTCCAGGTAGTCACAAGTGCAAGATGAACCACACTCCGTAATATAAATGTCTTCAATGAACAACAAAATGCGTTCTCCTTTACTTGCCATAATTTTCCAGCTGCAATTCTCGTCAGAAGGGTAATGCCTTGGATAGTAAGGACTAATAAGAACTCCTGATGTCTCATTGAGGGTTGCCATATTTGGACAGACTGCAAGCAATATAAATAGACTAAGCGTAAGTATCGAGGACAAATAAAATTATACGACTTTCAAGAAGAATCTAGTTAACTTGAGAAAGAATTAGATCAAAACCAAATGCGGGACGGAAGGACTTAAGAAGTTTGAGATGCGACAGAACCTTCTTTTTTTTTGGTTTGTGTCCGGAATAACTCTTTTTGAGTTATCGAGAATATATTAAACAAGTCAGACAATTGACTCCCTTCTTACGATCTTTTTAAAAGTCCGTTCGGTGACTCAAACGAACATGTTAATGGCTATTAGGCGCCTGCGCTTACTCTGGCATGAAAAAATTGTTCTGTTCGTCAGGTTTTCTTTCTTTGTTATGAAAGCCCTTGTCAAGTACGGCTACATGAGGAAAATTCACAAACAACGGAACATTACCTGTGAGAAATATGTTCGTACTAAGTACTGGGATTTGGAATCTGTGATTTTACTTGAGGAATCAAGAATCCTACTTATGATTGAAATAAGGAACCTAAATGCCAATGACATCCGGAATCCACGGCCTGGAATCCAGAATACAAAAGTTTCTTGGATTATCTTTTATGGGGCGAGTTGTTTTTGGTAATGGTTTTTAAATCTTAACTTAATCATTGATGTCTTATAAATAATGTCTACCACGCACCTGAACTATAAGTGATAGCCGTGTAAGTTGCTTTAAACCCTGGGTATTGACTGCGCAGAGACGTGAATATTATTTGAACGGAATTCCCTACCGAGTACACTGGAGGAGGAAGAGACTGACCGCACAGCATGAACGGCTGATACCCATCATCTGAAGCAACATTTGTGACTGTAACGCGGGCCTCTGAAGCACGATAGCAGGGAATGTACTGATAGGGCTTCAATCGAAAGTAGAGGAAGCTAAGTTTAATGATGTACCCACTGGGAACTGTGATATTCCAGGTACATTTGCTGTATTGAGGGTAGTTACTTGGAAAATTTGGAGTTGAAAAGAATCCACTAAATCCAGTAAGATATTCGCCAGAGGTACAAGCTGCAACAAGGGGAAATAAACATGATTCAGCTTTATAATTCAAAATCCAAGAGTAGTTATTTTTGTCTGGCAACCAATCAAAAACAACTCAATCGAAAGCGTTGCAATAGATAAACATAACAAATACAAGATTTGCAACAAAACACTTTTAACATAATGCGAATGAAAATTGTTGGCATTTCATCTACATTTTACTTTGTGTTGTTTTACTCCGTAAAGTATTTAAATGTGACAGTTGCTATCAGCCTGTTATGAGGCAATTATGTTTTATGTGACTTGCTGAAAATTGATGACCCTATTGCTTTCACGTAAACCTTTAACTTTGCGTTTCTAGCCGACTTTTAATAACTTACCAGCGTTTGTTGCATTATACTTCACTTTGATGTAAGATGCTTTAAATCCATGGTACTGCGGCAAAGTACCACTATCAGAAACAAACGTCACTCTCAGGACATCTTTTACCGAGCGGTATACAATTCCACGGTCTTGATGGTATCTACATCTTCGCCTGCCTGAAATCCCATCAGAGGATGAGCCATTTTGTATTTCCAGGTAGTCACAAGTGCAAGATGAACCACACTCCGCAATATGAATGTCTTCAATGAACAACAAAATGCGTTCTCCTTTACTTGCTATAATTTTCCAGCTGCAATTCTCGTCAGAAGGGTAATGCCTTGGATAGTAAGGACTAATAAGAACTCCTGATGTCTCATTGAGGGTTGCCATATTGGGACAGACTGCAAGCAATATAAATAGACTAAGCGTAAGTATCGAGGACAAATAAAATTATACGACTTTCAAGAAGAATCTAGTTAACTTGAGAAAGAATTAGATCAAAACCAAATGCGGGACGGAAGGAATTAAGAAGTTTGAGATGCGACAGAACCTTCTTTTTTTTGGTTTGTGTCCGGAATAACTCTTTTTGAGTTATCGAGAATATATTAAACAAGTCAGACAATTGACTCCCTTCTTACGATCTTTTTAAAAGTCCGTTCGGTGACTCAAACGAACATGTTAATGGCTATTAGGCGCCTGCGCTTACTCTGGCATGAAAAAATTGTTCTGTTCGTCAGGTTTTCTTTCTTTGTTATGAAAGCCCTTGTCAAGTACGGCTACATGAGGAAAATTCACAAACAACGGAACATTAACTGTGAGAAATATGTTCGTACTAAGTATTGGGATTTGGAATCTGTGATTTTACTTGAGGAATCAAGAATCCTACTTATGATTGAAATAAGGAACCTAAATGCCAATGACATTCGGAATCCACGGCCTCGAATCCAGAATACAAAAGTTTCTTGCATTAACTGTTATGGGGCGAGTTGTTTTTGGTAATGGTTTTTAAATCTTAACTTAATCATTGATGTCTTATAAATAATGTATACCACGCACCTGAACTATAAGTGATGGCCGTGTAAGTTGCTTTAAACCCTGGGTATTGACTGCGCAGAGACGTGAATATGACTTGGACGGAATTCCCTACCGAGTACACTGGAGAAGAAAGAGACTGACCGCACAGCATGAACGGCTGATACCCATCATCTGAAGCAAGATTTTTGACTATAACGCGGGCCTCTGAAGCATGATAGCAGGGAATGTACTGATAGGGCTTCAATCGAAAGTAGAGGAAGCTAAGTTTAATGATGTACCCACTGGGAACTGTGATATTCCAGGTACATTTGCTGTATTGAGGGTAGTTACTTGGAAAATTTGGAGTTGAAAAGAATCCACTAAATCCAGTAAGATATTCGCCAGAGGTACAAGCTGCAACAAGGGGAAATAAACATGATTCAGCTTTATAATTCAAAATCCAAGAGTAATTATTTTTGTCTGTAAACCAATCAAAAACAACTCAATCGAAAGCGTTGCAATAGATAAACATAAAAAATACAAGATTTGCAACAAAAAACTTTTAACATAATGCGAATGAAAATTGTTGGCATTTCATCTGCATTTTAGTTTGTGTTGTTTTACTCCGTAAAGTACTTAAATGTTACAGTTGCTATCAGCCTGTTATAAGGCAATTATGTTTTATGTGACCTGCTGAAAGTTGATCACCCGATTGCTTGCACGTAAACCTTTAACTTTGCGTTTCCAGCCGACTTTTAATAACTTACCAGCGTTTGTTGCATTATACTTCACTTTGATGTAAGATGCTTTAAATCCATGGTACTGCGGCAAAGTACCACTATCAGAAACAAACGTCACTCTCAGGACATCTTTTACCGAGCGGTATACAATTCCACGGTCTTGATGGTATCTACATCTTCGCCTGTCTGAAATCCCATCAGAGAATGAGCCATTTTGTATTTCCAGGTAGTCACAAGTGCAAGATGAACCACACTCCGCAATATGAATGTCTTCAATGAACAACAAAATGCGTTCTCCTTTACTTGCTATAATTTTCCAGTTGCAATTCTCGTCAGAAGGGTAATGCCTTGGATAGTAAGGACTAATAAGAACTCCTGATGTCTCATTGAGGGTTGCCATATTGGGACAGACTGCAAGCAATATAAACAGACTAAGCGTAGGTATCGAGGACAAATAGATTAAACCACTTTCGAGAAAGAATCTAGTTAACTTGAGAAAGAATTAGATCAAAACAAAATGTAGGACGGAAGGACTTAATAAGTTTGAGATACGCCAGAACCTTCTTCTTTTTGGTTTGTGTCCGGAATAACTCTTTTTGAGTTATCGAGAATATATTAAACAAGTCAGACAATTGATTCCCTTCTTACGATGTTGTTAAAAGTCCGTCCGGTGACTCAAACGAACATATTAATGGGTATTAGGCGCCTGCGCTTACTCTGGCATGAAAAAATTGTTCTGTCGGTCAGGTTTTCTTTCTTTGTTATTAAAGCCCATGTCAACTACGGCTACATGAGGAAAATTCACAAACAACGCAGCCTTAACTGTAACAAATATGTTCGTATGTATTGGGATTTGGAATCTGTGATTTTACGTGAGGAATCTAGAATCCTACTGATGATTGGAATAAGGAATCTAAATGCCAATGACATCCGTAATCCACTCCTGGAATCCAGAATCCCAAACTTTCTTTGATTACCTTTTATGGGGGGAGTTGTTGTTGGTAATGGTTTTTAAATCTTAACTTAATTATTGATGTCTTATAAATAATGTATACCACGCACCTGAACTATAAGTGATAGCCGTGTAAGTTGCATTAAACCCTGGGTATTGACTGCTCAGAGACGTGAATATGACTTGAACGGAATTCGCTACCGAGTACACTGGAGGAGGAAGAGACTGACCGCATAGCATGAACGGCTGATACCCATCATCTGAAGCAACATTTGTGACTGTAAGACGGGCTCCTGGAGCATTGTAATAGCAGGGAATGTAGCGATAGGGCTCCAATCGAAAGTAGAGGAAGCTAAGTTTAATGATGTAGCCACTGGGAACTGTGATATTCCAGGTACATTTGCTGTATTGAGGGTAGTTACTTGGAAAATTTGGACTTGAAAAGAATCCACTAAAACCGTCCAGATTTTCGCCGGAGATACAAGCTGCGAACAGAAAACGTACTGTTTTTAACCTTTAAACGCATATATTTAAGTAAGGCGTTCTACATATCATCTGATCAGAAACCATGAAGCCAGTTTACGTTATTTGGAGACCTAATTTGAGGTGACAGCCAATCACTTTGTTCACACAGAACCGTTCAGTGTTTCTGCTTGGTTCACATGGAACTGACGAAGCAACTTGAATCTTGCATCCACGCGTTTGCCTAAAAAATATTTAGACGCTTATGGTGTTCACACGGATGGTCAAATTCTTTCGTAGAATAATTTAAACGGTTATGGTTCTCAGACCGCGCTGGTCAAATTTTCGGCCGCACCGGCTAAAAATTTGACCTAGGTTGTGGCGTTCAAATTTTTTACCGGTTCTGTTAACAGATCTCCTAAACGCACGAATATTCGACCGGTCGAAAATTTGTCCTTGATTTGTCCTGTGTCATGTGAACGAAGTTTTCATCTTAACCTCGTCCTCAGAAATTTTCTCTTTCAAAAGTTTACAATTCTCTCAATTTTTGGACAAAATGTATTGAGATCCCTCATTGCTGTAAAGCATTCTATTCTTTCTGAGGCAGATGACGCAAAATCTGACTCGTCTGCCTGAAGAAATACTTGAAAAAAATCAGCCATATCGGTTCAGCGAGATGTAGCTTTATTGGTTGTAACACTGGCCCAAATTATTCAAGATGCAGATTATCTTCCTGTAGCAAGAAATTGGGCGCAGATTGTATTCTGCCTGGTAAAGATGCTGTTAAACTTATTATTAGTAAACGAGCATTAAACCACGGGGGGGGTCGTTTGAGAATAGGTTTATACATCTTCCTTTTTGGAAGAAAAGGGAGTCAATGGATCTTATTCACGACGATACCCACCATCTTTGCACGCACTTTAGCATTAATGGGATAAAAGCAAATATCCATTGGTACTTCAGGGGGCAAACAAACGATAAAATTTGCCATTGCGAGAAATCGACTTCAACTTTGTTTATTCTCTCGAAACGAAACAACGATCGATTCAGTCATGCAAAATGTACGGTTTGACTTTCGACAAAATTAACGTCCTTATTGCTTGCTTCGATGACATCTTCGGTCGCTACTCCATTAAAAAAGTAACTTGACTGTGATTTATTGTCTTGGAAAAATTTATCACTTGTTTGCCCCCTGAGAAACTTCGTGACATCGCTTTTTATCTCATCAGTCCTTAAGCGCGTGCAAAGATAGCGGGCATCGTGAATAAGATCATTTGCATACAATATTTAAGTTACGTATACGTGTTGTTCCATGTTGTTCATGGAATTTCTTCATATACTCTGAGTGGCGTGGTAAATACAGCGAACATAGAGTGGTGGAGCGTCAAATGGTTGCTTACAAGGGGTCAAAAACAACGGAAAACTATTAAACCATGCAGTCAAAAGGTGGTCGCTGTCGTTTATAAGAGATAGTCGTTTTCGAGAGCTTCTATTTATAGGGTTCTCACTGAGGAACTTTTTGTAGTTTAGATACATGGTCGCTTAGAGGAGGATGTTGCTTACAACAGAGATGGTCGCACGTGGAGGTTCGACTATAATGTTCGTTGTATCTCAATGAGATGATCTGAAAATAACGTACCTGACTGTTGCGACACCACCGTTGAAGATGCAAGCAGCATAGAAGACGGTGAGAGTGTTTCAGGCGCGCTTTTACCTATTGCCAGAGTAGTGCCCACTACAACAGCTGTCAAATGGCTTTGTTGCAAGCTGCTTGCAGAAATAGTTGATGATGACAACAGCAAGGAAGATACTGAGGTCACTGCGGATGTACCTTGTTCTGTGATCAGATTCGAACTCATTGTGGCGACAGACGATGAATCACTTCTGGATAGAGGGTTTGAAGGAACAACTGATGTTGACACAAGAACTGATGACGTCACCAGCACAGACGAGACCAACGTTAAGGGGGTTATAGTTTGCCTGTTTGCCATACCAGCGCTCAGTACCTCAAATGGCGAACTACTTATGGCCAATCTACTTGAATGAAAATCTTTTGAGGATGACATCGACAGAGAAGACGATGAATGTACAGCGGCTGTATTTTGGCTTGCCACATTTGAATTCACTGCTGCATTCAAAACACCCGTCGACTTGCTGTTTGCATGATCTGATGATAACCCTGAGGCAGATGTCATCAACACTAGGGAAGCTGAAGACAGTAGACATAATTTTTTGATACTGTTTGTATGTGGGTGCAGTGGCGGATCCAGACCTTCAGATAAGGGAGGGGGACGGTCATCCAGACTCTGAGATAAGGGAGTAGCCCGGACTTAACAAAAAGTTTTTTCGGACCTTCGCACCTCAGTTTGGTCTAAAAGTAAGGGGGGGAGGGGCGGACCCCGGGGGCCTCTTCCCTGGATCCACCACTGACTGGTGTCCGTCTTGAGAGTAGTTAATTGTACACGAAAACTGTTGTCCGTAAAAGTAAAGTAACAAAATATTTCTGTGCGAGTTGGAACATACAAAGAATTGACTCTGATTTTAAATTCCCTATCTTTACAACTGTTATTAGACCCTATAAAAGAATGAGGATTACTACGGTACTAGCTTCGGTAACTCTACGTTGTCGTCAGTTCTCTTGTTTAGGCTTGTCTTTCTTGTCTTTGTTGTATTGTCCTGTCTTGTCCTGGGGCACCCAACGACTGTTTTCTGTAAAATAGCTGTTTGGAAAAGCAAAAATTGTATGGACTTTTCTATAGCTTGAAGATGACTAAAAATTTCTAGATGACCGTTCCATTAACGTACAATTTTCGAAGCTTATCTCATTCTAGTAAATCCCCTATGATTTTCTGAAATTAATTCTTCGCATTTCATTTCCCAGGTTAAGTTATTTGCCGTAGATAAAGGAAACCGAAAGTTTTTGGATTCGAAAATGTAATGGAGAAAGGAACCAGTATAACTCTCACTTTCGTAAAACTTTAAACTGCATCTTAAATTTTCCGGAAACTGAACCCTGAAGTCATTGAAATTTCGAGAAGACTCAAATAGGCCCTTTGCAGCTAACCATTCACGTGGTAAAAAGCCGCCACGCTGGAGAGCAAAAGTCGAACTGGGACATGACAAACAAAAGACATACATACTTTTAAATGGTAATTTTCTTTTTTTGTCGCGTCTAAGTGCCACTTCTGCTCTCCAGAACAGCGGTTTTGTACCATGTGAATGGCTAGCTGCAAAGGGCCTATTTCCTTAGAATGACCAAGTAGATACAAATTTTATAGCGTCTCTCAGAATGCATATCTATAGAGTTCTTAAAATACTCTGGATACTCTAAAAAGTGTTTTTTAAAACACTTAAAAATGGTTTTAGGAGCAAACCATCGTTGGGTGTCCCTGAACTTTCAGCATTTCACCTTCGATTGCTCATGACTTACTTAAGAATGGAAACAAACCACGAGCCCACTGCCTTTTATCCATACCTGAGTAGACAACAATTCAATAATACAAAAGGAAAAATAGAATTTTTTCAAGATATGGTTCCAATAATTATGCTGTAACTAAATTAGAAGTTATGCAGTATGCAGGACACGTGTCAAATATGAGCCTAGTATAATTGGCCTCTCTCTCCTTGAGTTCTCCGTAGCTCAAGTGGATAGAGCGCCCGCCCGGTATTTGTGAGGTCATAGGTTCGAATCCTGTCGGGGAAGACTCCGATTTTTTTTTTCTTTGCCTCACGCTAGTGACATGCTGATCATTTCATTTTCACATAAATTAGAAGTTGTTGTCACGGAAATTTTATGGAAACTTGAAATCAGGTTTAAAACAGAATTACGGAAAATTTAGGAGTATCCTGACCGTTGACGACCGCAATTCTCTTTCCTCCGCGGAGGCCTCTTTTGTGTTGTAGCGAGCGAGGCAGGGGAGAAAGAAAGAGAGAGCGCGCGGGGCATGATGGGAAGGGGAAAGAGAGAAGAGAGGCTTTGGGTTAGGGTTAGGACGCGCGTTAGTATTTTTTGATTACTGCTATTTTTATTGGCAAAGCCAGCGGGAGCCCCTGCGGAGGAGAGAGTTCGCATTTTGGGTGGTTAGACTTAATAAGTCTTAAAATATGTAATAACAGTACGTGGGGCAGCTAACTAGCTAGTTTCGAATTATCAAAATTTATACTGGGCTCCAAGGCTAATGAGTAAAAAAAATAACAAAAGAAAGTAATTATTCACCCCTGAATCTTAATAATGTGATTTTAATAATTAGAAAAGTATTAAAATTTTTACAATTGCATTTTAATAAATTGAAACTGGCTTGTTAGGTGTGTTAACAAGGTACTTAATTATTGATGTTTTGATAATTTCAAGAACTGAAATGGTGTAATGAAGAAACGTGTGGCCGCAAATTCTCAAATAGAAACCTCCAATTGCGTTCAAGTTAAAGAGGGGATCATGCAAAAATGACTATGTTCATAGTCATAATATAATATGACAGCAGCAGGCTACGTTAACCAAAGCTGAAAAGGATATCTTTCTGAAGGGGAGTACTGAATTTTTCTAATCTAGGGTTGATTTAGGAAAGACCAGTATCAGAAAGGTATTTCGTTAATGGGCTAATTTTATCCGGACAAAATATGTAATAGTCGCTAGTTGTCGCGCAGCAATTTACTCATGCATGTTGGCAACGTCGCGAAAGAGCTATAAGAAATATGTTACCAGCGGACACCACATAAACTTTGTTTAAGAATGCCTGCTCGGCCTTGATAACAATATTGCTAACTCATTCCTAAATTCCAGATTTTAATAAGCTTTTTAGATTTTTTAAAAATGAAATAGTAACTCACTAAGAAACTTAGAAAATTGATCGTAGCGTAAATCCTCTGTCAAATCATTTGAGGCCGGTTGTCTACGATCTACTAGTTTCTAGTATAGAGTTTGGCCTTTAACCATAAACTCAATACGACAAGACCGTCGCAGTTCTATGGTCAGGAAGTAGAAACGCTCATCGCAACAAACCTAACCATTCAGTATTGCAAACTAGTAAGCAAGTTCAGCCTTAAATGATTTGCACGATTGTTTCTTGTTTAGCCATGGTATGCTCATATTGGAAACGTAAATACGAAAAATAGAGTTCATTTCCTTGTTTGCGCTCAGTGGCTTCGCATTCATTGTAACTTAAATATGACGTTTCTGCTTCCCTCTATAATCTGATGTAACATAGGTTATGCACATTAACTTGCCTTTTGGTCAAATATATCTACTGTTACCTCCAAATCGTAGAAATCTTGGTAACTCTTGAAAGTTTAATAAGCCTGAGAAGCTGCGCCTAAGCTTTCCTAGCGTGATATCGAGCAGACGTTTGACGCCAAAATAACTCCTCACCCATCGGCTTTTTAAACAGTCCACAGGTAAGAAGAAAGTTTTCTTTGTCGTTGTTCATTCAGTCATTATATCCAAAGATGACAATCAGACAATATGACGACAAAAAACAAAATATAAATCTTTGATTAAAAACACAAATAGATTCGAAGGAAAGGTTTTAGTAATTAACCCAATCTTAATTTCTGCCGGCCACAGCTGCTTGTACAACTGTTGTTAGGTTAAACTGCCTTGACTTCAGGAGCTTATTAGACCGATATACCCCTTACGAAATTCTGACTAAGTACACTCAAGTATACTAAGGCGTGGCCTGAGGCTAATTTGCATAAAATCTTATAATGATCATAACTTTGTGAAAATTTATCAGAACCTTCCAGAATTTGGCAACCTCGAAAAAATCGGTAACCTTAATTTTCCTGTAACGTAAGAAATCAAATATCTGTGTCACGTGACCACTTATGGTCGAGTCCAGGAAAGAAAAGAAAACTGAAAATGGGGTGGCGAGATGCCACTCAGCATATATTAAATACAGTATTTTTGTCATTGTATCATCGTTTCTCGCTTGAATCTGGCCACTATGGTTGACTCACGTTTTTATTTAATTAGTAATTAAGCAAAAAAGGTCACGTGACATTTTTCACCTGTTAATATCTTTTTAAGTAATTAAAAATTCTCTCCGTTCCGGCCACGGAAAAAAATAGTACGGTAAAACAAATATTTACACATGGTTCAAAATTAGTTGTAATCAACCATTCCTACCTCATTTTGAATTTCTTTTTGAATATCATTATGACGTCAAGTTTTAAGTGACTACATCAATTCAACCCTGATTAATTCAATGCCTCAAAAGAAAGTTTCTCAAAAGTTTTTTTGCAACTTTTAGAATTAAAATACATGGCCATAGGAAAAAAAAAAAAAAGCTTTATCTTTGCGGGGGGTCGAGATCCCACTACTGTTTCTGAAGACGTTCTCTCTCACTCTAACCACTGGTTAGAGACAATGCAGAAACAATAGAAGTAGGTTGCCATTGTTTTGAGTGTTGGAATGTCTTTGTCAGTGCTTCAAGTTTATGCAAAGAGAAGCATTTTTCTTTCTCGTGCACTAACATAAAACCCTCGCGAATTCGGTAGTCTCGTGCGAATCGTTTTGATGGCAAAACAGTTAACAGCAAAAAGTCACATGCTACTTCGGAGTAAATTTAGACAGTTTTTAAACAGACTGAGCTATTGTTAGTCGCGTAAATTTCTATTCTTCATCGAAGAATAGGCAAATGTTGCGGATGTCTGAGCAGGAACAATAACCAGGAAAGGGATATACCCAGGGGATTTCTTGATTGACACTAAATTAACGTCATTTTTCACTTATTTGCATTTTCACGATCGACGTTTTTGAATGGGCGCGTTTCTGTAATGTTCTCATACTGACGTGCAGTTAATCCCACTAGAGAAAATTCATTCTTCACTTGACTCAGTTCGAAAGACCAGGGAGTCGCATTTGATAGATAAGGCCATGACTCTTGAACCTCGTGGCCTAAACCGCCGTGACGAATTATTGTAATCCATATCCTTAGTATTTTCCTTTCCAGTTTTTATGTTGTACATATATAATATTGTGACTGCTACATAAGTTCAGTAACATCTGTAAACCTGGGGAAGGCTGGTATGGCCAGCCGAAATATTGTTATAAAAAACAATACACGTTGTTTTAAATCAGCTTTGCAGTAGTGTTTGGACCTCTCGTTCTTGGTTCTTTATATTTTGGCTGATTTGATCTCTTTTCTAGAGATCCAACGTTTACAACTAGCAGGATCTTCGTCCACGGTTTTTGCAGTTAATTTAATCCTTTATTATCTAGACATAATTAACAATTAATGAATGAGGCTGAGTATCTTATGAAGAAATATGGAGATCGAGGAGGGTGTTATCCGTCGAGGCCGTAGGCCGAAGCGGATAACACCCTCTGAGATCACCATAATTCTTTCCTATGATACGAAAGCCGAATTCAATAATTGTTTTATTATTCATTCAAAATAATTCCTAGTTTAAAAACATGGCTAAGACATGCTTACCTCCATCGATCCATCGATGTTAAGTTCATCTTCGATAGTGCACGTTTAGGTTTGTCCAGCTCCACAAATATTCTGCAAATAGCAGATGTCGCCCTTCGAGTTGTCTTCTTGCTGTTCTTGCCATGTTTTTAGCTATTTTTTCGCCTAGTTCTTACTCTTGAAACGAATGAAATGACCGCCATTTTTGTTTTCACAACCAAAACAACTCAACCTCGTCCCCAGGTCTTCTCGGTTAACGGTGCCTTAACCTGCACGAACGCTGCATTTTTGACGTCATTTCCTCGTTAAACACAAAATTCTTCCAAATTTGGTCATCAGTAACTGGTTATTGTGAATTAAACGTTTGCTTTTAGCCAATCAGAGTCGGGGATATATTTTGGATGAATAATAATAGGTCTTAATACATGTAATAAGAGTACGTGTGGCCGCTAACTAGCTAGTTTCGAATTATCAATATTCATACTGGGCTCCAGGGCTGATGAGGAAAAAAAAACGCAAAAGAAATTAATTATTCATCCCTGAATCTTAGTGTGATTTTAATAATTAGAAAAATATTAAAATTTTAACAATTGCATTTTAATAACTTGAAACTGGCCTGTTAGGTGTGTTAACAAGGTACTTAATTTTTGATGTTTTAATAATTTAAGGAACTGAAACGGTGTAATAAAGAAACGTGTGGCCGCAAATTCTCAAATAGAAACCTCCAATTACGTTCAAGTTAAAGAGGGGGTAATGCAAAAATGACTATGCTCATAGTCATAATATTTAACAATTATTCCTCGAGCCTGAATGGGCTCTGAGTCAATAGCCCAACCATTGGCCGAATGGGCTATTGACTCAGAAGCAATGCGGGCGAGAGGAATAATTGTTTTAGTAAAATCCAATTAGTTGGTCAAAAATATCGAGAATGAAAAAAAATTAGCTAGTTAAAGCTAGATTTAAATCCTTTTTTGCCGCCAAAAAGCCCGCGCTTTTCGCTACTAGTGGGCTATAACATATAGCCTAGTAGTAGCTCAACCAATCAGAACGCAGCATTGATAACAGACCATGCCACTAATTGAATTTTACTAAAATACGACAGCAGCAGCAGGCCACGTTAACCAAAGCAAAAAAGGATATCTTTCTGAAGGAGAATACTGAATTTTTTAATCTAGGGTTGATTTAGGAAAGACCAGTATCAGAAAGGTATTTCGTTAATGGGCTAATTTTGTCCGGACAAAACATGCAATAGCGGAGCTCTGGCGCGCGAAGCGCGCCTGCGGAGCACCATGGGTAAAGAAAACTACCCATCCCAGAAAATTTGGTAATCACGTGACCGTACACCGCCCGCCCGCCCGCCCACCCGCCCGCCCGCTGCCCGTCCGCTGCCCGTCCGTCCGCTGCCCGTCCGTCCGCACCACAGGCATACCAATGTTTACTCTCACACTTTCTAGCTACTTTGGGAGCCCAGGAGAAAGCTGATTGCACATCAATCTCGTCATCAATTGACAGCTGTCAAAACAGGGTATCCGCTGACCAGTATCACCTGATCGTATCGCGGGCTCAGGTGTCGACCCATTAAGGTCGAGTATTTTTGAAGTTATCCGCTGACAGTTTACTCGTTTTCAAATGATCGCAGGCTCACGTTTGCTTATTTTTTAAAATTCATATCAAATATGTTCTGTTTCTGTCAGTATCGCCCCGCACTATTACGATTTTGATTTCAAACTGACCTCAGACGCAAAAATTCAGCCAGTTTTTTTTAAATACAGGCGGTTAAGACCTTTTCTAACCATGGTCACGTGTTGGTCACGCTCCACGTCCAATTTTTATGCTCTGATTGGTTAAAATTTGACAGGTGAGTTCATGCGTAAAATTTATGCAGCATCTTGAAAGTTGTTTACTTTGACAGCTGAAGCTAACAGAGTTTTGAGTCAACTTGTGATGTTTTTAACTGTCTTTTTCCACTGGATGTAAAAAATGAAATACAGCTGCTATCAAGAGTGTTCTCTTATTCATGGCTGGTTTGTTTATTGGGTTTTTGGTTGAGAAATGCGTCGCTTGTCAAAGCCGATAATCCGATTTCGGATGGCATCGTTTTTGTTTTTCACCTTGCTGGATGCGTACGAGAAATATAAAGGTTCAAGCGATCCTTGCCTTACTTGATAGCTTTCAGGAGCTGCATCTCGAAATATGGTAAGCCTGAGTAATTATTGTATTTATATCTAATTTCATGAAGTCCAGCGGCGCAGTTTATGAAGCTAGTTTATGCACGTTTGTATAAGATTTGACTGAGACACTGATCTGACCTAGTATGAGGTTTGATATAAGCTTAAGCTTACAAAACTTTAAAAAGCCTTTAGCCGATATTAATTCACCGTAAATAGAAAGAAAATACTTTCCGAAGAATATTTAGTTATAATTTTGGCTTTAGAAAGAAAGCTTTGAGCGATTTTCTTGTCGTGAGTTCATCTTTAAAAAAAGCAAACACCGGGAAACCGGCGGCTTAAAACATAAACTTAATCTTCAAGCTTACTAGTAAAGACTTGAGGATTTTTAGAGACACTTAAATACTCATTTGTTTTCGTGAATGAAAATTGTTGTCTCTGTAAATGTTCTACCGAATTATATTTCTTTATTGATTGTTAGTAATCTCAAAAGTGTAATTTTCATCGCTTTGCCGTTTGTTTTCAGGCGGTCATAAACATCGCTTGCAGGAGTAATCAAAATGCCGAGCGTATCAAACGCTTTTTAAGATTACACATCGTTATAAAACCATTAAGAAAAAATAGACTCAATAAATTCTTTATCCCGTTGAAGCGTAACTCTTTTAAAATTTCTTCGCAAATTTGGCGTTAAAAGTTAGAACCGGCTGGCCGTAGAGGTGATTTTGGAAATTTTTTGAACGGTTTCTCTGATTAAAAGTCCACGCTTGCTTCGATAATCCTGAGTATTGAATGGATGCAATTTGTCTTGAAAAATTGTGTAATATTGCATTTTGTACCAGGTCTGTAGGATAGAAAAAGCGCCTCATAGTACTCTTTCTCCTCAGATGTGGTGTATAAAATAAATAAATAAATAAATAAATAAAAGAATGGTTTGCACGCACCCAGATTTATTGGCAAGAATTTGTAAACTTGTCGAACGCAAAAAATTCGGCCTGATTTGTTTTCCAAGAACTTGTTTTCCACGCCTTATCTACTGTGATCAAGAGCTATTATTGGTCATAAATACAACAACAACAACAACAACACTTTATTCACATTTCCATTACAGGGTTTGTCAAACTTATTGAATAATTAGTAACTTAACACGTAGAATATTCAATTACAATTTAAACTAAATATTATTACATAGAAGGAAATGCCTAGCGGCTAGATAACCGTAAGGTTTTCGAGCTAGCAACTAGTTCTTTGAAAGTAGTGTCGAATGTACAGGACATCACAATAACTAGACATACAAAACATCTTAAGACACACACCATAAAAAAAAAAAAGAAAGCACATAGATGGCAAAAAAAAGAAGAGAAAACAGTCATCATAGTACATGACGATATGATTAAAATAAAATAATTTCAGTAAGTTAATTGTTCGGCCAACAAGTATTCTTTTAATGTTTTAGGAAAGTTATAAGTTGAAAGGTCTTTTATATGGGTAGGGAGCTGTTGCCACAATTCGGTCGCCATAGCCGCTGTTGTTTGACCGGACTATTTTTTGTCTGTACATATAAGGCTATGTCAACTCGATACAAGGTTTGTTTCACTCCAAAATCACTTAGCTTTTCCCTCAGAAGTCACATGAATGTGCCCTTAAGTTAACTGATTTGTGGAATACAAAATTATTGTTTGACTTAAGTTATAAATTTATCAATGGGAGCTTCGCTTTTAGCTGTGGCTAAATCTATATATTAGTGGCTAGTTGTCGCGCAGCAATTTACTCATGCATGTTGGCAGCGTCGCTAAAGAGCTATTCGAATTATGTTACCAGCGCACACCACATAAACTTTGTTTAAGAATACCTGTTCGGCCTTGATAACGATATTGCTTACTCATTCCTAAATCGCAGGTTTTAATAAGTTTTTCAGATTTTTTAAAAATGAAATAGTAACTCACTAAGAAACTTAGAAAATTGATCGTAGCGTAAATCCTCTATGTCAAATCATTTGAGGCCGGTTGTCTTTGATCTACTAGTTTCTAGTATAGAGTTTGGCCTTTAACCATAAACTCAATACGACAAGACCGTCGCAGTTCTATGGTCAGGAAGTAGAAACGCTCATCGCAACAAACCTAACCATTCAGTATTGCGAACTAGTAAGCAAGTTCAGCTTAAAAAGATTTGCACGATTGTTTCTTGTTTAGCCATGGTATGCTTATATTGGAAGCGTAAATACAAAAAATAGAGTTCACTTCCTTGTTTGAGCTCAGTGGCTTCGCATTCGTTGTAACTTAAATATGACGTTCCTGCTCCCCTCTAATCTGATGTAGCATAGGTTATTAGCATAGGTTATGCACATTAACTTGCCTTTGGGTCAAATGTATCTACTGTTACCTCCAAATCGTAGAAGTCTTGGTAACTCTTGATAGTTTATTAAGCCTGAGAAACTGCGCCTAAGCTTTCCTGGCGTGATATCGAGCAGACGTTTGAGGCCAAAATAACTCCTCACCCATCGGCTTTTTAAACAGTCGACAGGTAAGAAGACAGTTTTCTTTGTCGTTGTTCATTCAGCCATTATATCCAAAGATGACAATCAGACAATATGACGACAAAAAACAAAATATAAATCTTTGATTAAAAACACAAATAGATTCGAAGGAAAGGTTTTAGTAATTAACCCAATCTTAATTTCTGCCGGCCACAGCTGCTTGTACAACTGTTGTTAGATTTATCTACCTTGACTTCAGGAGCTTATTAGACCGATATACCCCTTATGAGTTTCTGACTAAGAACAAAGAAGAGACTTGATTGCTCTTTCTCTTTTTGTTTACATTTCTATAAAATAGCTGCCATCAGTGGTGGCCGTTTTCAATTGCGATCTATTAATAGTCTAACTAAAGCATCCAAAAAAAGAGCGATTGAAGTAACGTCAAATAGCGAGTCAACCATACTAAATACCGTGGTTATGAGTACCATTTTCACTAGCACTCATAACTCCTACAAGCGGTTGAAATATTACTTTAATCGACAAATAACATCATTTTCATACCAATCATAATTTTCTCACTAACCAACTCAAATATTTACAACTAAGAAACCCCCAGTGTCTTCTATGGGGTGGAAATGATGCTATTAGGCAGATTAAGATGTCGACGACGCTGACGGCAACGAAAACGTCAAAAACGCAATGGGCTTAGATTAGCAAAACAACAACTTTGCCAAGTGCAGCACACGTTTTGGTGTATCTCTTTGTTGGCACTGCACCTCTACGACGTGAAATTGCCAAATTTCACCCTCACATCGACAAAGTAAAAAACCGACGACAACTTTCTCTTTTGTTCAGTTTGTTGAACTTGAATATATTTATTACGAATTCAACTCCTGGAGGGCTCGTCTTAATTTGACTGAGGCCTCGTCCACACTTATTTTTTTTCTCCGTTTTCGACAAAAAATACGCGTATTCACGTAGCGTATTCGAACCGTTTTCGCCCATCCTTACTTTCTCAAAGCCGGCGCCGTTTCCGGCACAAGAAGAAAAATAAAATTTAAGTGTTCTTAAACACGAATTAATCTTGTCTTAAACTTGGGTTTAATAAGTTTAAGTGGACGTTTAAGTTCCTTAAACCCAAATTTTAATTTAACGTAAACCCAGCTTAAAGCAGCTTTAAGGCTAAAGTTTAAGGTAGGTTTAATCAACTGTTTAATTGTGTGAAACGCCTTGTTTTGGTTGCATTAAATCAAGCTTAAATGTGCTTGAAACTTTTAGTTTAAGCAGAAGCGTACTATAAAACCATACTTAAACGAAGCCTAAACTCAAGGTTTTAGCTAAAAATAATCAATCTTAAATTTGCCCAAAACTTGATTTTTAAAGTCAAAGGACTCGAACTTGAATTGTTAATTGGACTTCAGAAACTACAGTTTAAACTAATCGGTTGGTTCCAGTGGGCTCAAGAATGGTACGGCCCTGATCATTTTGTCTGGTACTATTTTACGAGTTACTGCTCCTGAAAAGTTAAGTAGTTTTCAAAATCCTTTTGGAAAAATGAAATTAATCTATCCCTTTTAAGTCAATCCCTTTCCCTACACAATGAAGACAAGCAGTTTTTTTCCGCTTTCAACTCACTTTATTTTATTTAATAGAGATGGTTACAATTCTTTTTCAAAAAATTACTAAAACGAAATTCATTGGCCTTTGAAAATACAAAGTGCACATAATTTTAAGAAAACAGTAAAACAGAAGTCTAAATATATTTAACACTAATAACGACAGCATAAAGAATTGTAATTGGTAAAACTACCGTCTCCAATACATTTCTTATGGTTCAAAACTGTTCATTTCTTCTGGTAGTACCGGACACCTTTACAAGACAAACACCTCGGTAAGACGGACATCTAGAGTTGGTCCCTGCTTCTCTACTCTCTTTATTCGACAGACAGCTAGTTAGTAATGCCAGTCCCAAAGGTGTCTGTCTTATAGAGAGTTGATTTTATAATTCTAAAATAAAGTCCAGACAAAAATGCCTGTTTCTTATATTAAAAAGATATCTAAATCCATTTAAGGAAACACCAACAAAAAAAAGCAAATGCCTCATAGTTTTGTTTGGTGGGCTATTAACGCTTGCCAAAGGAAACAAAGCTTATGAAATAGCTGAACTGTGGATTGAGTGCAAAAGAGCTAAATGTACATTTATCAATAATGCTACTAAAAAATTTGTAAACAGCAAAAATCTGACATATAACATTTACACAATATGTATTAAATAATTATTATTGAGAGCTTGAGAATTTGGAAAAGTTTAAGTGTAATCAATGACTACAGCTTGCAGCTTGTTTTCTACAATTAACCAAATATCAGTTGAACCTTGATTAATATCTCAAACAAACTTTTCGGTTATCCCATTCTTCTGATCCCAGATTTCTCAAATTAATGAATATTACAAACTCAAGCCTGATTTTCTTTCTTGAAGTCTCTTTCTTTTTGAAAATCAAAGTTAGTACTTATATGTGTTGTTCATCATATAAGCTACCCTATTAAGAAAGCCAATGTAGATGGCATTTTTGAAAGTCAACCTCGTAGATAACAATTTTTTTATCATCCACACTCCTTTTTTTCCATTTAAATATTTATTGCGGCCAGTCTTGCTGAGTCTGTATAAACAAGGTTCCACTCACTGACTTAAATTTTAAATAAATAGCCATATTTTACTAAGGACCAGGTTACTCAATGCTGGTTTATGCAAAATTTGAGTTGAGATAAGAAAGCCTATTATTGAGCAATGGCCTGTCTCACGGCCCATGATGGACCATCGGGTGCTGGTCTCTTTGATATATCACCCTCAAACCTTGGCTTTGCCAATGCTTTGTCATGAGGGGTGAGGCTTCCATAATGGGCTCTGTCAAGCTTGCTTTTAAGTTTGTCAGGGCTGTTCTCTCCCAAGAGAGCTTCTTGGTTAAATAACCTTTTAGTTTCTGTGTTACTTCACCAGTGATGGGATCTTCCTCATCTTCATAGGCAGACTCCTCACTGCTCATGTACTCGACATAGAGCACCTCTGGGGCAAGCTGCTTCTGGCTTGAGGATAAGGATTCTCCTATAAGCTCAAAAGCCCCACATCGCCTGTCCAGCTTCGAATAAAAACATAAAGAAGGACAAAAATCAAACTAAATAATGGTGTTGCAGTCCTTCAATAATAAATATAATCTATCAATTCACAGGGTTCTCATTAAGTGCCGGCAGCTGGCTAAAAAACCGGCTACTTGGAGGTTTGAGCCGTCTACTTTTTGGGGAAATAGAGTAAAGTTAGAGAGTGAACGCCTGAAATTTCCTACAGCACTCAGTTACTTACCAAGCCGCCTACTTTAACATCCTAGCTGTCTACTTAAAAAATTAATGAGAACCCCGAATTCATGTTTGTAATAATGGAATTTGTTCAAGAAAGTAAAAATAAAATAACTAAGGATAAAAGTGGCCTCACCCATATACTGCAGTTAAGATCAGAAAAAAAAAAACAATGTATCACTGACAATAAATATGACATTATAAACATATTATACATTGTTTTTCATGAGGACATGAAAAACTGTCCAGTACATACAGGTGTCCCTATTAATGGGATACCACTGCATTTATAAGTATCAAAAAAAGTTTTTATATTTGACCATGTTCAGATGTTTGAAAAAAAAACTTCCTTATACTTACACTTGTGAGACGTCTACTCATTTTGCACCTCTGCTTGTGCTCTTCATTTTTTCCTTTTTTTATTCTTTGACATTTCTCCTTTACCATTCTGAAGTAACGAAGGAATTGAGCTGTTGACGTAAAGACCAATAATTAGCAAAAAGAAATTTTAAAGTAGGCAACATTTTATAAAAAACCTGCTGAGATTTCTTCAAATCTAAATTTAGCAACTGCCCCTAGGGTTGAAAAGGAACTAGTACATGTAAGTGTACATACAGGGTTCTCAATAGGGGGCGGCACCCAGCGATTGATCGCCGCTTACTTTGGGATTTATAGCCGCTTACTTTGTGTTTAAGTCGCTTTTCTTTGCTTTGTTTTGACACCTCTGGCTTTGCTGAAGAGCCTCCTACTTTATCAGTGATCACCTCCTACTTAAAAATCTATTGAGAACCCTGACATAACTTTTACAGACAAGAACTTGATTCCTTAGCTACAGGCAGTGTTATTTTCTCAACAAGGGACGAGAAATTTCGTATCTCCAAGCGGCCATATAATATTCTATTTATTATAATATAAACACCAATGAACTACCAAACCATTTCACTTTAAAAGTAATTTGGTGTGAAAAGCGCGATTTATTATGTAGCCATAGCAACGGTGATATTTTCACATGTGAAGATACCAAGTTTTCAAGTGAAAGCTCACCTGGTATTTCATTGGTGTTTATATAATAATAAGTGTTATTATTCATTCAAAATATTTCCCCGATTCTGATTGGCTAAAAGCACACCTATAATTCATCATAACCAGCTACTGATGACCAAATTTGAAAGAATTGTCGTTTTAATCAACTGATGACGTCAAAAGTGCTACTTCCTTGCAGGTTAATGTACCATTAACCGAGAAGACCAGGGGAAGAGGTTGAGTTATTTTGGTGGTGAAAACAAAAAATTAAGGACATTTCACTTCTTTCAAGAATAAAAACTTGGCGAAATAATAGCTAAAAACATGCCAGAAACACAACTCGAAGGGCGACATCTGCTATTTGCGGAGCTGAACAACTGTAAATGTGCACTATAGAAGATGAACTTAACACTGATGGAGGTAAGCATGTTTTAGCTACATTTTTAAACTAGGAATTATTTTGAATGAATAATAAAACAATTTTTGAATTTGGCTTTCATATCATATGAAGAATTATGGAGATCTCAGAGGGAGTTATCGGCCGATAACACCCTCCTTGATCTCCACACTTATTCATAAGATACTCAGGCTCATTCATTAATTGTTTATTAATAAGAGTTGATTCATGTAACAACAAACCTTCCATTTGCAGATCAGTCCATGGGCAATTTTCTTCTCCGTGTTCTTTTTTTAGAACTTCTTTTATTTTAGACAAGATGTCCTGGTTCACCTCTGACTGGGAACTGTGACAAAAACAGTATGTTAATTTCAAAGTGAAGGCTCAGTAAAATATCCTCAGTTAAAACAAGACCTAATTCATGTAATAAGTCAATTTTAACTGCTGAAGCCTATCTATGACATTTTACAGTGGACTATTTCCAATTTTATGAACAACTTTTAAAGTTAATGCACATTCCCAGTCCATTCTAATAAGGCTTTAAGGCTTGAACTGTTTGCTTCACCAACTTCTTTACATTGGGCGATTCCAGAAAATATCCATACCATACCACGGACGGCTTTAAGGATTTCCGAAGGGGAGGGGGGATTCACGATTATGGAATTCTGAAGGCATGGGGGGGTATTTACGAATTGAAATCCGAAGGTATGGGGGAATTCCACAGGTGGGATTTCTGGAGTAGAAAGTGTAGAGTAAGTTCCTGGAAAACGCTATTGTTGTGGACTTTTGTAGTTCGTAAATAAACCACGAACGTATGACCGCGGAAGCAGAAGACAAGCATCGATAGATCAGACACGTGTTTACGCTCATAACTTATAGAAGTGAACAGTAAAACGTTGGTTTCACATTTACCTTGATGAATTTCTTGTCACGTGAATAAAAACTGAAAATGTATCTTTTAATACCGCTTGCAAATTTCTTGTTACTCCCGTCCGAAACCGTCCGATAAACAGTAAAAACTCGCACCAGTCCCTCACTTCCAAGGAACGCCTGTCAGATTAGAACGCTTTTCGTGCGCACTACATGACGTATAAAAGGACGCAACATGACTCGACGGTATATTTGACCGCCAAAAGATTTTAACAGTCTGTTTGAGCTATTTTCCTTTGTAAACGTCAAAACAGCACAAGAAAACAAAGAGGAGTAAAATTAGCTTAAGTGGTGTTTATTTTTATAGCCAAATTCGGACTTAAAAAGGAGTTTGCACGGCCTGGCAACTAGCGTAGGTTTTTCTTGTCACTGAAGAGTAAAGCTTGTCACCTGGCGCCGCTAGATCACAGCCTTGAGGAGGCATAAATTCATGTTCGTTTGTTCTTATAGGCGTTGCTAAGTCGAAAATGTACTTCCAAAAAAACCCGGAAATTCTGAAGGGGAGGGGGGGTTCACGACTATGGAATTCTGAGGGCATGGGGGGGTAGCGCATTTTGGAATTTCCGAAGGCAAGGGGGGGGTTAAAACATGGAAGCCGTCCGTGGTTGGGTATGGATATTTTCTGGAATTGCCCATTTTTCAGTTCACTTGTCTTAAATTGATAGTTAATTATTGCATAAAACATTGAGCATTTTGTGTAAATAACCTTTAAATCCTTTGAGCTATGATTCATATTCTGTCTTGGACAACCAAAAAGCATCAAAATACACTTTCCAGGCCACTACATTCAAAGTTGAAGAAAATTCAAGGACTTTTCAAGGATTTTCATAAAATTTCAAGTAAAAAATGAAATTCAAGGACTTTTCAAGACTGTACGAACCCTGCAAATTGAAACAGAAGCATATAACCAATAACCCTGTTCATGGCTTCTGTTTTGAGATCAACCACATCATCGATCATTATCGGTTGCTTCCAACAGCAACTGTCTCCATCGATCTCGTGTTATTCAATGGTGAAATAAATATATGTTCCCACTTCTTAAATACTAAAATTTGGCGCGAAGGGGAAGACAATGTGCGTTTGTAGGCTTCTGTGATGTTTTACAACACAGGCATGTGGGCGCCTCTGAAGACACGCTATCACACGGTCAGCTCTAAAGAATAAGCACAAACTCTGATCTCTCATGATGAAAAGCTTTTCTTCTAACATCAAAGCAATAAAATAAGTACGTAAACCTACCCTTAAATCCATAGGAACTTCTACTTTGGATTCTGTACGTTTACGTTTTGAGCCGCGTTTGGTGTTGTTTAGTCTCTCCTGTTTTGAGAGTTCTGTTCGCAACTTGACGTTTTCTTGCTGAAGCGTTGCGTTTTTTTCGTCCAGTTTCTTCTGGCTCGCTAAAAATGAATCCAATCTCCTGTTCATACTTTCCTTAAGCACAAGCTGTCTTTCTTGAGAAGGACTGCATGTAGCCACGATTCGGTTGTAAAATGCGATACTAAAAACCAGGGCAAAAACTCGCAACGAACACCACAACTTTTCGAAGTGAACTGATAAAGACGCTTTCAAAACAGTGATCAAACATACCGCGTTTGTAGCTGTGGACATTTGATTGGCGTTCTATTGCTGACGTACCTTTAACGTCACCAATAGTGGTAGAATATTTTTTGCGCATTCGCGCGCGCGCGTTCGTTCAAGGAGATTAATTTTTGTGCACCTTATTCCAAAATGACAGACAATTTTAAGCCAAAGGCCAATACAATTGATTGAATGGATGGAGAAGGATAATTTCTTGTAAGGGATTGGGGAAAAGAGTGTGTAGCAGACTGAACTAGGCTTAAAAGAGGCTTCAATGGACTTGGAATAAATTCTGGAAAAGATTTAATAATAATAAATAATAAAAGTATTATTATTAAATTATCATTTCAATAATAATTATGATTTAATATTTTTTTTACTTTAAATCAATAATATACGACTTAATCTGGTATTAAATTTTTGGCATATCTAAGAAAACTTTAATTTGTCTTATATCTTTCAGTCCGTTTATAAATAACAATTATTCACCAAGTGGAGGTGGTTAGTCCTGGATATTTACCGAACTGCGAAGCAGTGAGGTAAATATCCACGACTAGCCACCGACACTGAGGTGAATAATTGTTTTAGTATATACTAAAACAGTGAGATAATTGAGCACAAAAATGACGATTTTTAACTCAAATACTGTTGCCAACGATTACAATTTTGGCGCGTAATGACCGGGCGGCCGCGGCCGTCGCTCTTTCTTGCCGACAACTAAAACTTTTGAAGGCATTTGTTTAGCTCTTGCGTGGAAATTTCTTCAAAAGGAGTTGTGAATTCTTTTTGTGTTTAAAATCATTCTATAAAAAAAGATTATCAAATTTAGTTTTAAGCTTATTTATGAACAACTCAACTGAATAAAGTAAGCAAGACTTAAGCTTAATTTGCATTTGTAAACAAAAAACTTTTTCACCGGTTTTATCGATAAATTCGTGTCAAAAAGACAAAGCTTTACCTGTTAAAACTTCCAATCCGAACTTCGTCACCTTCTTCGTGTATTTCGGAAACAGCTTGCTTGATTAGTTGTGAAATTTCTTTGTTTGTTTACGGCAGCAAACCGGGAAGGCATTTTGCTTGCAACTTACGCGAGTTTGGCGTCGCTCGCTCGGAGGAACTGGAGGTGAATCAGTGAATAGTGCAGGATATTCACTGATTGAGTAGCCAATCAGAGCGCGCGAAAAACACTATCCACTGTTTTAGTATATACTAATTAATCGTTTTTGTTTCTATTAAGTGGGTCAAGGTTGGTCTTGATTTGTCCACATAAGTATTTTCCCGTTTTGATCTTTTGTTTTTACTTGTCCTTGGAATAAGTTTCTGCTTAGCTCGCGAATTTACTTATTGCCATTTTGGGAATATTTTTCGCTTGCCATTATCAGATGTTAGTTTACAGTAGGTGGTCGTGTTTATGATGTTAGAGCTGACTTTGGTTCATTAGTCTCGTTGGAGTTCCTGTTTGGGCCTGGTAACTATAGCGTTTTAGGTTTTCATTGGTTTGTAGCTTCTTGCCGATCACAACCATGTAGGTTCAGTTATACCAAAGCATTACCCACGAGCAAGTTGCTCGAACACACCCCACAATATGAACAGTTGGTCACACATTTGTATATTTTCTTTTTTGAATATTTTGAATATTTTCGGCTCAAAATAGGCAGCAAAATAAGGCTACTAAACCTGGGCCGGAAAAATATTCTTACAACCCTTATTTAGCCGCAATAAAGAGCTTTGCGTTTCAAAAGAGGTTACAGAAAATGTTCTTGCATCAGAGGGCAAATCCTGCCAACTATAAACAAAAACCACTGTGGAAAATCAATTCAAGGTAGACAGACTGCAAATTATATTAGTTGCTAAAAATATATATATATCTACGTGTCGCAAATGTACGTGTCATAACCTCTCAGTGTGAAACAAGCGGCAAAAATCACGTTTTAAATTTGCTGGAACTAGCAGCATTTTGGCTGGAAGTAAAAGTCGTGTGTTCCCTACCGAACCCTTTTTCACTAAAAACAATTCAAACGAGAGCGGGAAGAGCGATTTTGACAGCGATTTCCCTAGCATGCGCAGCTCATAAATAGTAGTGAGATGGGCTGAACGCATAGGAACGAGCTTATGTGAAAATTATTTTAGCAATAACTTGAATTTGACACTGCAAGCTATTTCATTCTAAGTCTTAGTATGTACAGTGTTCGTATTGAAATTTTCGACCCATGCTGTTTTGTCGCTATTTTATGTGGCTTAAAATACCGTTCATAATTCTTCTGGGGTATTTTGTTGCCTACCAATATCGAATCCGAAAACAGACTTTAACCTCGGGATCGAGATCTAATTAAGATTTCTGATTCCATTTCCTACCTCCTTTCCAGAACCAGGAGTTTCATTTCCGATGTCTGAGCTCTTTAAGGCTATTGGCCATTGGTTCTACTGGCCAAAATCCACTGCCTCACCGCCACCGATTGAGCTTAACAAAATTTACACAGTTAAGGTGTTGAGATGAGCTTAACTTAAGGCAAAAATGGCAGTTAAATTTTATAACATCTGCCAATAAAATGTACCTAAAACGCTCATTTAATCATCATTACATAAGCTTGTATCTGTGTGGATCTGCCAAACCGTGGCTAAAGAAATTTTAAGTGCATTTTAACAACTTGACGTCTAAGTCGAATGAAATACAGCTTACAGTCATTAGCTTATATCATAAATCGTTGCTTCAAAACTTGTCTCGACTTACACAGTCGATTTATTCAAGATAACGGATGTAAATCAACGGTTGAAAAGGGGACATGGAGCTTCCGGCCATGGAGTCTTAGCTTTGGCCTGGTCAGAAGTCAGCATCAATTTCCATCTCGCCAAATAGATTTCTCTCTTAGAACTTAAAACAATTAAATCTTGCAATATCCAATCTTTCCGTCTCAAGCCCGAAATCAGTCTTTCACCCTTGTAGCTAAATGAGACGAGATGCGAGAAGATATTACACCTAGCAGATTTTGCCAATCGTAAGACGTGTTCCTTCATAAGGCTAGCTAATGATGCCTTCCGGAAAACCTTTCCTCGAGGCAGCCAAAAGTATTCCAAGACAACCCACTACGAGAGTCGAGGTCAATCTAATACGCGTGCTGATTTCAAACTGACACACAGAAAGAATTATGGAAGGTATGAAAAGTTTTTTTTTTTTTTTTTTTTTTTTTGGCGGGGGGGGAGGGGGGGAGGGGGGAGGGAGGGGCTGGTTAGGTTAATGGCCAGCGAGAATTTCATGACAATCTATCACTGCAGCGTATGTATTCGGGTAATATTCGGTAAAAATAAATACATAAAAAATAACAAGGAAAAAATATATTACAAGACTCGGTAAAATTTTTATAGCCATGTTTTGTCCAATCCAGACAGATATCTAATGCGATAATTGCAACATATGGTGACCTCTCAGAAAGGGGTCACTTTGTTTTAATTTATTATCTTTCAAGACATTTTGGAAGCATTTCTAGACGAAACTTATAGATCTTGTATCGTTCGTCTAATTGTTTCTTTGATCTAATGTTCCTATTTCTACCCAAAATCGAAATGGCAAATTGGCACACAACTAGTGCCACAGTAGTGGCAGGCGGCGAACTCGGGTAGTGAATGGGCAGACAACTTTATCTTGGTACCTTCCCAGTGCTATAGTTGGAAACTAGCGCTGTTTACCACAAACAACCGAACAAGCCAGCTTAAGCATTCTATTACCAATTAATAAGCGAGCCTAGCCTTAAAAATGTTAAGAGATTTGCTGGATTATTTATTGTTTAAGTCATGGACAGCTCACAATGAAGCCGTACATACAAAAAATCACTCCCCGTTGTTTGTGCTCAGTAGCTTCGCATTTGGTGTAACTTCAACATGACGCTGAAGTGCTTGGGCTTTACCGCGACAGCGTAAGTTATGCTAATTCACTTGCTTTCATGAGTTAAAGATGTCTGTCTACTCTTACCTCCAACTCGAAGAAATGTTGGTAATTCTCGATAGTTTTAGCCTGAGAAGCTGCACCTTAGCTCTTCTGGCATAATATCAAGCAGACGCACAGACGTTTTGGGCCAAATCAACTCCCTTTCCATTGACCTTTTAATAGCAGTCGATTGTTTTTGGCTGCCAGTGAAGGCAACACCCAATCAGGAAATGAGAAGGAGAATTTCATCTGTCGAAAGACAAAATGGGAGAAAGACCTTCCAGAAAGCTTTGCGTGTCCTTTAGGCCAATTTCTGCGGGGAGGGGACCGGTCATTTCAGGTCATCTGGCGAATAGACTTGGAAGTCGATTTGGAATGAACAAAAAATGAGTGCCTTGAGTTAATGGCCCTAAATCTTCACCGAACGATTATCTAAATATCTAAATAGCCTGGGCAAGAACTGCAGAAACAATGCCCTCTCACGGTACCCTCGAGGAAAGCTTCATTGAACTTGTTGCAATTCTCTCCCTGAATGTGAAACGTCTTTCCTCACACGAAAGGAAAATCGCCCCGTCAAATAGAAACATATTCACTTAGATAGTAGTAAGGGCTTTAAATGCAGTATCCGGGAGAAATAAAACTGAAACTTAATTTGCTCTGCGAGTTTTAGGAACAGGTAAAATTACTGTTACATAATAGTATTTAAAACAGGAAGAGTTTTACAAGCGCTGAATGATAAAAACTTTCGGAATTTCCGGTTAGATAAAATTAGTCCCGTTATGATGTCATGCTACGTTTTTTGGGGAAGAGAGATTGGGGGAATGTAGCCTGGGACCAGGCTCCGCTGTGGGGAAAAAATGGCAAAATACGGAGTGAAACAGCATAAAAAATCGGGGACCAAGCGAGTGGAGCGGTGGTCCTAGGCCAGGGGAAGGGGGTGCGTTGTAGAAATGTCCCAGTTAAAAGTAATGCCAATCGTTCCTTGTTTGAAAGGGCTAATTATATACAGCTATTTCAAGAAAAGTTGTCGGAAAAGTGCACGCGACAATCCCGAAGAGTATTGTTGGTGGTTTTGAGTTTACGACAGCTACAGTCGCCAGGAACAGTGTATTGATCATATCGCATATTACCTTTCGGGATTGTTGGGTGCACATTTTTCCCTACGACCTTTCTCCAAATAACTGTATATAACAATTATTCACTGAGGTGGAGGCGACACCTAAGTAAATAATTGTTTTAGTAAACAGGACCCTCACTGGTTTCCGCAGTTTTTACGAAAATCGATCAGATTTTTTTATAATGAACATATTTGTAATCATGATATAACTTTCCAAGTTGAAATCTGGAAAGTGGTGTGGAAAATTGTTTTCTTTTTCCAATTTCCTCGCATTAGATGCACCCTCCATGAATCAGAAACCCGGGAGAGGGAACTTTAGGGAGTTAAAATCCAAAAAAAAAATCACGAGGGAGCATGCCCCCGGGATCCCTTAGACGCTTGCTCCCTCGGCCCCTCGTTTAGGAAGCTATGGCAGAGGGCGTTTTCAAGTGCAGACTGAGAAAGTTTACTTCTTACTCATCAATCATTAAACAGCAGTGTCTTATCAAGTTAAGAAATCGAGCGTGTAACCCGATAATTTTAAGACTTGATAAAACACGCACAGTGAGTGTTCCTTTTACAGCTTAAAAAATATATATCCAATGTATTGCAATTCTGCCAAATAGCGCAGTTGATGTGTTATTTGACAGTTGATAAGGACGACAAACCGTAGGTCCCGTCTCACAGCTCTTTCCACTTATCTGGTTCTTGTGCGACGTAAAATCTGAAAGAATTCACACCACTCTTCAAAAAGAGCCGGCCGATGTAGACCCCGGTGGTGTAGTCAACCTCTCCTGGGCTGGGTGGGTTATATATCTGTAAGGACACGCTTAAATTGAAGCCTCGCTCTTTTATGTGTTGGTCGCCATAAGGGGAAAGTGATTAGAAATAAAAGAATGAAATAATAAATATAGAAATTTGATCGGTGAATCCACGGTGACCTGAATTTCTGGTGATGAGAATTAGTTCGAGATATCGCGAAGTTTGAAAAATCGAGGGTTCTATATTATAGTTTACCAACTCCAAGGGAAACAACTTTTGGTTCGTGAAATCGGATTTTGGAAAAATCGAGTATGGGGGTTCTAAAGAAATCACTAAACGAAAAAAGACTGGGGACAAGTTCTTCACACTTTGTCCCAGACTCCCAAGGGATGCCAGACTGAATTTAACATGTTTACGGTTGCTCCAACTACAATGTCCAGAAAGCACTGTAATGCTTTTGCAAGATTTCGATGTTATTGCTTCCATTGTGACATAAAAACACCTTCAAACGTTACTGGAATTTGTCCACGTTGGATTGGGGTTCGACACTCGACACTCGTTCCTCTTCCTGCTTCAAACTGAACCATAGTTAGCAGTTCCACTAGCAATGAAAGAACGTGAAAGAAGAACACGAATACACATCTTGCTGCATATATACTTCAACTATCTTTTTTCAACACCCGTTATACGTTAAACAGGTGGGTTATGAGAATATCATGTCAGTGAAACAATAGACATAATAGCACTTTTTAGCTTTACAAGTGTATTATACTGGTTGCGTGTCCTGTGATTTTTATCCCCAAGCTAATGCCATTCTTCTGGAGTACAGTGAAGCCTCTATTAAGTGGACACCTACGAGACTTAATAGAGGTTTCTCTGTATTTTAACGTTACTTTAGCAGGAAGGCGGTCTTACAAGATGAAACCTTTGACTACTAATGCATTATGATTACAACAACCACAGGAAACCCAGCCTGTATGTTACAAAATGAACCACATCTTTTCATTTAGATAATTGCTAATTATGCTTGTAACTAGTCAAATATGAGTGGGTAGTATATATGTATATTCCTGTCTTGGAAATTTGCAATGTTTTGGCTTGTCTCTGCAGGTAATTTATTTTTAACCTCACAGCATTTTTGTTTCCTTGTAGTGACTTTGTTATTTCATGTGTATTTTTCCTGATCCCCTGGTGTTATATTCACGTAATTTTTTTGTTTTCATATAGTTGCAAGAATTTACTCAAAGTATCTGGTAACATAATATAAAGGATTTTTTTGGAAATATTTCTTATAAAGGTTGCCATTGGCTCTCGCCTCTAAAAGATTGCATTCAGACTAACTAGATTACCAACAATTTTAAAGGAAAGAGAGGGGAGATGGCAGGTACAAGAAATGTAAGTAACATTTTTATAGAGAATTTAGAGAATACTTAGCCATTTAATAAACTTGTATGTCCATCGATGTCTTGGAAAAAAATGTGGCACATACTTTCTGTACAGCAATGTTGCTATTTTTAAAGAGCAATATCTATATTTGTTATATGGCTGAATCTGCAAGCTGGCAAGCTGTTTTGATTGGCTACCCAAGCAAGGAAGACGAGCCCATCTTGCCTGCTTTGAATTTCCAACATTGGTCCTGCAACAAAAAGGTTTTTTTTTGGCCATATAATTTAATCCTTTATTGACATAGCTTATTCGGTTAAGAGGAATGGATATTGGCCTTCATGTTAATTATTCTATGCCGATGGCCTTGTAAATTTATTATTTATTATCATATTACTGTAATTTTTGCCAGACTCTTGCAAAATATTGTAATTTTTGTAATTTCCATAGCTGTATTCTAACTTGATTATATCTCTCAATATGACTCAAGCTGTTGTAAAGGTCAAGGTCTGAGTATTTTCCTAGAGGATAAATTATCAGTTTTCAGTAGCTGTTTCTTCATGCCTCGCACACATTTTGAGACAAGTTTAGTTATGGTCAGTTGCTATGGTCACGAGATATGACATCATAAGTAGCAGGTGGTCAAGCCAATTTTGGGTGAAAATATATGTTTTTCCAAGTTCTTTTAAAAGTAAATCTTGTGGCTAAAATCATACAAAGTGCTTACTTATGTGTTATTTTTCATGTAAAGCACAAAAAAGTTACCATTTCTCGCAGTTTTAACCTGATTTCTCATTCTTGGTAAAATCCAAGATGGCGACCATTGTTGGTTGACGTCACATACCTCCAGCAGCGCCACCACCTTTCAAATATACCTCATCTTGTTAAGAAGATCAAAGGCTTTCCACTAAAGGTAAAATCGTTTCAAAATACTGCAACATATCAAAAACTCCGGGGTGGGGTTCCATCCACACCCCCACCCCCTTGTACCACGGTGGTGGTATGAATTTGCATCTACGTCCGAGGGTTAATGGGAGTAGCAACTGAGTATATTTTGTGGTGTTTGTGAATTGAGATTTCTTTAAAAAAAAAATGATAAATTTGTTTACCCGGAAAGCTCTCGGGACTTTTGAATTCTTAAGAGGTCGTTCAAATGTGTCCTTGTGTTCCAGAAAGCAAAATTGAATTTTGAGGATTCGGCAAAACAGGAGTACCTGGAGAAAAACCTCTAGAAGCAAGAGAGAGAACCAACAACAAACCCAGCCCACATATGGCGCCGGAAAGCTGGGATTTGAACCCACGCCACATTGGAGGGAGGCAAGTGCTCTCACCACAGTGAGCAAATGAAAGTAATAACGGTTTTACTGAGAAAACAAACAAACAAAAACAAAACAAAGAGATTGGTTTGCGATGATTATAGTTCTTTATTTGCAACAGCATATACAGTCTAAAGATGAGGAATCTTGCGTCAAACAAGCGTTTTTGATCTCATTTGACTTACACTGTAATAGCAAAAATAGTTTCCACTCTCATTTAATGAATGTGTCAGAATACTTTAAGCTTCCTGACTTTAACCCTGATTTATTAGATATAGCTATGGTAAAAAGCTATGTAAGTTCAGTGAAACAGGAATATATCTCATATTGGCAAAACACCCTTCAACATTCTCAAAAACTTCAATTTTATAGATCTTTTGAAAGCAATCATAACACCTCTAGTTACTTAGACTTAACAGGAGGAGCAGCTGTGGGAAGGGCTTTAGTAAAACTACGAATAAGCAATCACACACTAAGGGACCGTGCAATAATTATCAGGAAGGGGGGTCCTAAAATGAGCTTCACCAAAGGAAAAATTAGATTGGTCCCCCC